AACCAGAATGATGGAAGGACAGGGCGGCAGGCGCTCTTGGTCCGACGACGTCGAAGTCCCTTTGATTTGATTGTTCCAGGTTCTTCATCCTGTAGCTCAAATATCGCCTTGTGGACCACCTTCTGAAGCAATTTTTCAACACCTTCCTCGCCAGTGGAATAGGAGCTTCATCTTCTTCAAACTTGTCAGAAGACCGAGAGATCTGAGTGTGTATATGACGTTGTTTCATTTCTTTATGCCACTTCTGATTGTTACAAATGATGTGACAATAAAAATCAGCAGCGTAACGACAAGTTCTTTTATTTGTGCGAAAATGCAGAAAGCAGGTAGAAATGGCTGGCACGGCTTGTTTTATTAACACTATCCCCCCTTCGTTGGCTTTGGCTGGCGGCGGCGGCAGTGGCGGTGGCGGAAGGGGGCGTGTTAATATGGCTTGGCGGCTTGGCTGGCGGCAGGGCATGACAGCTGACGTCACGTCCGTTACACTAGTTTATAATTATAATTCATATTTCATTTTTAATAGAATACGGAACTTGTGACGCTGTGGTAATTTTAAGCATGAAATATCATTGCCAGTGATATTCCACATGTGAAATGATCGTGATTTTTTTTAAATTCCATCGAATGAAAATGAATTAAAAGTAGCAATCGTTTCCATGCCTTTTTGTAGGAGATTTTATGACCTGGTAACTAAGCCTTTTAAGTCATGTCTTATTTTAATTATTTTTTTTTTTATGAAAAATTATAATATGGAGTGAAATGAAATGAAGATGATTAACTTGAGACGTTAGTTAACTGAGATAATGTTAAATTAAATGAGATGAAATATAATCTCAGTAAAATGATGGTCATTTACTGAGATTTTTTCAGTGGACTTTTTGGAGGCTCCCGAGAAGTTACGTCCAGCGGCTTTGTTTCATTTTCTTACATTTGTGTACTTTCACAGATATTAAACAGTTAATAAACCACCGTTATTACAAGATGAAACATGAAGAAACACTAAAGAGACAAAATAAAACAAAGCACACAGCTTCACTCCTCGCGTTCCCGCCAAAAAGTACCCATGCGTACCATAGATTATAGTTGGTTAAACACTTTGATACATACATAATCAATTAAGTGTATAATCTATGTACATAATTATTTAGGTACCTACCATCAATATGTAAGTATGTAGGTAATAAAATGTTAATAAAAAGTTTAAGCATGCATAAACATTAAAAAAACATAGTCCAGACGCTGCTTAATAATTTTAAAGCTTGTGTATCGTTGTTACAGTCAATCGTTGACACAGACATTACATGTGTTATTGATGTGCTTTTAAATCTATTGGGGTTATTGTGTATCTACCTAATGATAACTTCCAAATAAATAAAACATGGATACCGAAGTACGAATGTATTTCGGGAGATGCAGATGTTGCTTAGAATATGGTTATTTAAAATACATGTTTTTTGAACACAAACATCGAGGACAGGTCGAGATTTACGGCGAAATGTTAAAGAACTGCTTCAATTTTTCTGTAAGTTGTAACAAATTCCTGTTAATCATATAACATCGATGAAATTCATTTTCGTATTACATAAAGAAAAATGATACAGTACATTGTTGTGGTAAACAAAAGAACTGACAAAGATTTTTGCAAGTACCTTGGCTGTGCTCCTGGCACTGCTGACGTCCATGGGCGATGGTAACCACTATCAGGTGGGCCGTGTTCTCGTCTTCCAATATTAGTGAATAAAGTCATTTCATGATATTTACATGAAACACACATTTAATAAACTGTTTATTGGTGGTTGGCCCTCTTGTGAGTCCGCAGGTAGGTACTACCGCCCTGCCTATTTCTGGCGTGTAGCAGTAATGCGTTTCGGTTTGAACGATGGGGCAGCCGTTGTAACTATACTGAGACCTTAGAACATATATCTCAAAGTGGGTGGCGGAATTTCCGTTGTAGATGTCTGTGGGCTCCAGTAACCACCTAACACCAGGTGGGCTGTGACTATCCACACATCTAAGACATAAATTTTTTTATCTAGAAACACGCACACTTCTCATCTTTCTCTTCTATAAATTCCACAGTGGATCCAATTAGACACGGAGGACTATAATCAGATCTGTGATCCGTGCATCAAGAAGCTAAGAGAGGCGTGCAGTTTTAGGAATTTAGTTATAAGATCCCAGAAGCAACTGCTTGATGAAATATGTAATAGTGAGTTAATGATTGTTACTTTCATATTGCTTATAGCCATGTGGGAGGTCTGCATAGCTAGTTCAGTCTATTTCTGTGGCAAAACAATTGTTCTGAAACATGATCTATCAATACCAATACCTGTTGTATACCTTTGAACTCTAATTTTGATTTTTAACAACAACTTAGTTCATGATAAAGTTTATTTTTAAAAAAAACTAGTAAAACCACAATAAGCTAGATATATAAATAAGTGTTCAGGCTTAGTTTTGTTGGATCTCAAAATTAGACCAGTTGGTCCATAGAACGCCTCGTGCAGGGAAGGATGGAGGTATGAGTCTGGGGGATGTCACTAATGCAATGAATCAATCAAAATAAAACACATCAAGTCTGCCCTCCAACATGACATAACAATCACAATCATTCAACCAAGAGTGAAATGATTGAGATGAAGAATAAGACACATGTAATACACATAATACAAATGTATAACAAAATGAAACCCACCGAATTTAAAGCTATGCATAATTCCTGGTGTCAGAACATATTGTAGTTCCCGTCGTCATTACAATATATGCCACGAATAATAATGCAATTTAGTTTGAAGAGTGTGACAGTTTAATAAGGTAAACGACTTACATTCCATACCAGAATAGCATGTGCTGACTCTGTATGAAGAGACAAGCTTCAATGAGTTAGGACACTTACTTGATAATGTGGATCCTTTTAAGCAAGTATCATATTTAACTATCTAATTGTAACATAGTAGTCTTAAACTTTAATTATGTATCAATTCTATCTAGGTGAAGAACCAGCAATAAAAGTGGAATATATAAATGAAGTGGAACAAGATTCATTATTGGAGCCGGTGCAATGGGAAGGTGGGTATGAAGAAATGAAATAGCAAAATGATGATAAGGATGTAATTAATAACTAGTGCACAATGTAATAAATATCATATTTTTTATAATTTTTACTCCATGGTCATCTGATGTTATTGAAGCCCATTAACTGTAAGACATGAGCTTGAAGTCTCAATTGCATAATCTAACTGCTCAGCATAAATGGGCAGGATGGTCATACCTACCTATGGGTGTCCTATTTACTGGTGGTAGGACCTCTTGTGAGTCCGCACGGATAGGTACCACCACCCTGCCTATTTCTGCCATGAAGCAGTAATGCGTTTCAGTTTGAGGGTGGGGCAGCCGTTGTAACTATACTTGAGACCTTAGAACTTATATCTCAAGGTGGGTGGCGCATTTACGTTGTGGATGTCTATGGGCTCCAGTAACCACTTATTATCAGGTGGACTGTGAGCTCGTCCACTCATCCAAGCAATAAAAAAAAACCTACCCATGCGGTCTGACCGTACCATCTCCATTATTAACCAGCTTACTCTATTTTTAGGTAATAAAGTAAGTATGACAACTCGAGCAAAGAGGAAGCTACTGAACAGGCAAGCATTTGATGAAGACGAATCTGAGAACCCTGTGAATACCAAAAGAAAAGCACAGGATGACAAATCAAACTACTATGACATCGAAGACAGAGTATTGTATGTCAAATTGGATGAGTGTGAGCATTAATTTATTATTATTAGATTTTTTTATTGGCATTTTTGGCAACAACTTTTTACTGGTGGTAGGACCTCTGGTGAGTCCGCACGGGTACGTACCTCCGCCCTGCCAATTTCAACCGTGAAGCAGTAATGTGTTTCGGTTTGAAGGGTGGGACAGCCATTCTAACTATACTTGAGACCTTAGAACTTATATCTCAAGGTGGGGGGTGGCGCATTTACGTCGTAGATGTCTAAGGGCTCCAGTAACCAGACAACACCAGGTGGGCTGTGAGCTCGTCCACCCATATAAGCAATAAAAAAAATTTTAAAAAATTTATTAATCTTTAGTATCCCTGAATTTGGTAGTGATCTATCAAGACCTATACAGTCAAAATCTGTTATAACGACATCGAAGGGACCCATATTCAGTCGTAAAAACCGATAGTCGTAACAACCGGTGATGGTTAATGTGTATCGCGCAAGTACAAACAAATCGATAGGGAATTATTGGAAAAATATATTTACATAATACGCGATTTTTCTTCAATATTAATTTGTTTTCTTTTTCTTTGCGACATTTTGAAAGTTTCACGAATAACTCCACAAAGTTTGAGTGCGTCTCGTGTATAGATAAGTAACAAACTAACTGAAGAGATATGAAGAGGCGGGCTTTGACTCTACTGCATGCGCGTATTTTGTTTCTAAGAAGTATAAAATACCCTACACTAAACTAAATCCTATTGTTTTCTTTCCTAATTTTAATAGCCATTGAAGACAAATGTGGATACCTATTCAAATTGTGTACAATACAACTTAGCCGGTCGTTCTAACAGATCAAATTCTCCGAAATATTAGTTAAATGTGGTCGTTTTATGAGGTATGTCGTTATTACCAATGTCGTATAAAGCAATGTTTTTAATAAGGCGGTCATATAGCATTCAGCCGGGACCTTTGTTCTTGGTTATAACCGGCATGTTGTTCTAAACGATGTCGCAGTAAACGGTTTTGACTGTATTTACCAAAGCCTTGATAACAAAGGAATGTTGTGATTCTTTGATCGTAAATCCACTGCCCTGTTTTGAAGTGCATAGTGTGTATACAAATTTAAATCTGTTTTGACTAATATTAAATTTTTTAGTATCAAAAACGAAGGTAGTACTCAAATTCTCATACTGAATTATAATAGTTTCAGGGAAACAAACTGTGGTGCCAAAGTCAGAAGTCCTTGAGATGGATAGTCAAGAAATTGAGGAAATGATGCAGAATAATGATTTACCTGGGAGAGGAGTGTATGAGGAAGTGGAATATTTAGATGAAGAATTCACTGATAATGGTGAACAGGGTTAGATGTGTTTAATCATGCATTATTAAAGAAGACATTAAAAGTTGCATTTTGTAAACTGTCCACCAGAATATTTTCTGTGTTAGGTATTTACTCTAACTGGAAACTCATTGCTACTCTTTGGAAGGGTGTTGGATATATGATGGATAAACAAACCGGTTTTACTCATCTCTCGCAGGAACAGATGTAACGAAATAGCTTCAAAAATAAACAGTACTTTAGTACTAATAATTTTAACACTTTTTCATTGCATCAAACCAAACATTAATAGAATGTCTTTAGTCTATACGTATTCTAAGGTGATCGTTTTGTTAATATTAGCACCAAATAACGTAATGAAATAATGTACCTTTCGTGTTTTTCGTCTCAATAAAATGCTTTTTTTGTTTTCCTAGAAAAAAAGGTAAAATCAGTTAGAACATCCCGGAAACGGGCCAAGAAACTTCCTGGAGCTGAACACAATGAAGAACAACTTGGGTACAAAGAGGAGGATCTGAAAAGTGGTGTGGAAGCAGTCAGAAACAACAGGATGTCTAGATTAGAAGCAGTAGCATTCTATAACCTTTCGTTAAAGACTTTGGATGCCAAATTGAACATGCATGAGAAAAGTGAGTGTTTTGCGTTAATTCATTTTCTTACCGTTTCTTATTTGTACCAATTTTTATAAGCACACCTTTCAGGTAAAAGGAAGTCTGTATCCAGGAAGAAATCCTTAGTGGTGGTGGAAAATGAAGAAGCCTTGACAGAAGTTCGTCAGGATGATAAAATTGGATTCGAGAAAGGCACATATGTAGAAATAGAGTATTTAGAAGAAGATGCTGCTGATAATGTTCAAGAAGGTGAGACATATTTAAATCTACAGATTTAGGACCACAGTGCAGGGCTCTAAGTACAATAGGTGACATTTTTTCTGAACTATATCACCAGAGAGCTTTGACAAATGTTTCTTCAAAAGGAAGAGCTCTGACAGTCACCACCTTTAGACTAGTAGACGTATCATAATCTGCCTACAAAAGTCACTAAAGAATGAGATTTATTTTATGTCAAATTAAGGATATCCAAAAATGGGATAAGTACTTAGACAACCATCATTCATTATCCTGTAATTGTGTAATTCATTAATGTGATGTCTATGAATTCCTGTAAACAATCCACTTGAGCTGAACGGAGAGTATGCATATCTACAACATGAGACAACTGCTAAACGATATTGAACATTAGTAAGTATTATTATTTTGCAGAAAACGATGTGAAACCAGTGGCCAATGTAACCCGGAAGTGGCCCAAGAAACTACCCCGGGCTGAACGTAACAAAAGATACCTTCAGTACACCGAGGATGATCTCCGGAACGCAGTGGACGACGTCAAAAACAATAAAATGACTAGACTAGAAGCAGCAGAGTTCTATAAAGTTCCAAGGAAGACATTAGATGCTAAATTAAGAACGGAGGACGAAAGTGAGTGAAATAGATAGATTATTGCACAAATTTTTGTTCCAATTTGCGACACAGGGAAAGATTAACGGCCGTCTGGTGTAGTGGTAAGTGACATGGTCACTACACAAGGGGGTTGCGGGTTCAAATCCCGCCAAGGGAAGATATTTTTATGATAAATATAAAATTTCTTCCAGGGTTATGGATGTATATTATAAATATATGTATATGTATAATAAAAATCTTACATTTATTTCCGTTATCTGGTACCTGTAACACAATGTCTTTACGAACTTAGCACGGTACCAGTTAACGTGGCGTGATTGTTAGTAAATATATATTTATTTATTTTATTTATATCATTCGACCTTCCATGCAACGACAGTCGTATACTTTTAATGATAATGATAAATTGTAACTCTTTCCAGGCATAGACCCAGCTCGCGAAGAAATGTATAAATTCATAAAGGAAATAAAAGAGATATTGACGTTCACGAATGCGACGCCTTACAGAAGCAAAATGACGACCTTCAGCTGCGCCTACTGCACCGAAGTCTATTTCCACGCGGCGGACGAACTCCGCAACCACACGCGTATGAACCACATCGACGAGCGAACGAAGAAGGTCGACCTCATGATGAGACCTCACTCGATGAATGAAACCTTGAAATTAGACATAAACAACCTCATGTGTGTGGTCTGTTGCATCCCGATCAACGACTGGAACGATATGTTCAGGCATTTAAAAAATACACATGGAACAGTCTTCACGTATGCCCACAAACGGCTCATTCCATACATATTGAACCAGGAGCCTGACTGCGTGCTCTGCAAGCAACACTTCACGAACTACGTCCAGCTCGACGTCCACATGAACAGCCACTACGACAACTACGTCTGTGACGATTGCGGCCAGACCTTCATATCGGCTGCCAGGCTAAAGAATCACTCCAAGAAGCACGATTTAGGGAAATACTCGTGCAAATACTGCAACAAAGTGTTTACTCTAAAACATTACGTCAAGAAGCACGAGGCAGTCGTGCACAAATCTAAAGTGCACTACAAGTGTTACCATTGCCCGGAGAGACTGCCAAGCGATAAGGAGAGGAAAGAGCACATTGAAGCTAACCACAGGGAGAAAGTTAAGGAGATAACCTGCGATATTTGTGGCAAGATATTCAATTGGCGTCAGTATTACATTGGGCATCTGAGGAAAGTCCACGGTGATAGGAAGTACGCATGTACAGCTTGTGATAAAAAGTTTGCTCAGCGTGATGACCTAAAAAGACACATTGAGGCAAGACACAAGGGACTACAGCGGATCAAGAACCACATATGTCCGGTTTGCGACAAGAGATATTCCTCGAAATCGGCGCTAGTGACTCACTTCAGAATTCACTCGAATGACGATGAAAAAATTGTCGAAGCTGATAAAATATTTAAATAAAGTAATGTTAAATAGTGTTTGACATTTAAATTTTCTATACTAATTGTCTTTTTGAGTAGTAGTTTTAATTCTGTTGCATAATTTTTTAGGTTTATTTCACACCCCAACAAATGTAATAGTGTCTTGGGGCTTAACATACCATCAGTGTTTGATCAAACAACGCTAGAAAATTATACGGTTATATTTGATTTTTGTTTTTTTTTTCTAATTAGCCTTTTTTTTTGCCTGTGCCTACTACATGTGGTTGCGATCCTCAGTAGGTAGGGAACGATAGTAGAAAAATACCTACTCCGAGGCTACTAGAGCCTCGAGAGGTTATACTAGCTTTACCAGATGTATAGCTGAGCTCACAGGGCTCAGCCCAGCGAATTTACTAACATTAGCCCTAGTAAAGATAGAGCTTCGCTGAATCTACCACCGGATTGGAATGGTGACACAGAAAATCCGGCCACAAATTCAGTGGGCTGTGTCCGTAGGAGTTAACGTAGGCATACATACATCCTGGCAGGCGATGCTCGACTTCTGCGAGTCCACTATCTCGCAGAAGGAGGCGGCGGAACGGGAGAGGGAGAGCTCTTCTTCCCTCTCGGCTCCGTGTCGCCGCCGCCGCCAAGCTGGGGGTCGGAGGAGGGCGTTTGTCCAGCTCCGGCCCCTATAAGGAGGCAGTCTCCTCTCGGTGATGGTCACGGGGCGACCTAAGGGGGTTGAGACTGCGCCGCACACTACCGTCACTCTAGCGCGTTGGCACCAGGAGGACGGGACGACGCGTCGGCGGCTGCGAACTGCGATGCGGTTCGCATTTTCGTCGTCGCTGTCGTCGCCGAACATACTGTGGAAGAGCAACCCGGTCGGCGGTGTATCGCGTTCCGACCTGGCAGGCTGGTTCTGGCCCAGCGGGGTATCCCGGAACACCAGCGGCATCGCCCGGGCGGCCTGGTAGAGCCGCCGTACCGCGGAGACCGACGTCGTTGGTCGTCGACTATCGCCTCGACGACCCGTCGGTCGGGTGTCCTCGGGGTGGCGCCGCGTGTCTGGTTGTAGTGTTGACCGCGGGAACCCCCTTACTCTGTCCGGGTTTTGTCCTTTTGTCCCCGAACGGAGATCGGACGTCGGATGTAAGAGTGCAGGGGAGTCGTTTAGTGGGTGGGCCATAAAATTCCTTGGGCCCGCGGTCTGCTCCAACACCTTGCAGATCGTTGATCCCACATACCCCGCGCGCCCCCTAGGCGCGGGGACCTCGTAGGAGGTTCGGCTACCGGCCCGAAAAAAAAGAGGCATACTATACACACATACTTTCTATTCGCCACAGCCTTTTGTCCCGCTGCATCGAATCCTGGGCTCTCAAAAATTCTGGTGTCATTTGTTACTTCATCTTTTTCTCATTTGCATGTTTAAAGCTAAAGATGAGATAAAAAATTTACACACTATTTTTGTAAATTGCCATTAGGACTGGTTAGTTTTCATTTAAATCAAACCAAATTTCCCAAAATGAATGCTGTCGAAATTTAGTATCTATTATTTAAATCGATACATTTTTAAATCTGGTTTTCCTGCTGTTTCACCCAGATTAGATTCATAGTCTTAAGGTCTTTTGCCGGTATAAGCGGACAAAAAATTAAAGGTGACAATATAAAACATCAATTGTCATTCGCACTAGTTTTGTTGAATTTACATAAACATTGCGCGAAATACAACAAATAGTGAACACAATATTACCCAAATCATTCTAAAATGGAATGTACTAGCGCTACTGCTATGTTTGGTACGTGCAGATGTTGTTCGGCTTTAGGAAGTCACCTGGATATCTTAAAAGAGTACCACAACGACGGAGTCAAAGAGGTTTTCTACGATATGTTTGTGAAATGTTTTGATTACTTTGTAAGTCAAAATTATATCAGATATATAATGTTCCTTGGACACTCGTGGCCTATCTGAGATGTTGATTCGAGTACCTGTGCAGGTGCTTTGTGAAGTTACAAATGTATGTAAAGACAGACTGGAAACTTGTTTTGACACTAACTTCTTATTTCAATTTCCTTGTTACGAAAAACTTACAAAATATACATACAAAAAAAGGATCACTTTTAAGAATATTAAATTATTATTAAATTCTATAGTTAGATTAAACGACACTTGAAGAAGAATATGAAATAACATTGAATTTTAGAATATATTATCATTACTTTAAAATTTTGTATTTTTTTTTGGACACCCGAGATGTCTGTGCTTACTGTTCCCAAAATTTCAATTTATTTCTAATTTAATTTAAAAATCACAAATTAATGAACAAACCAAACGACATTGTTTCAGCTATCAACAAACAAAGGATTGAGTACATTAATATGTTCAAAATGCATCACTCGTCTACGTGATGCCTACTTGTTTAGGACAATGGTTGAGGAAACTGAAAGTTTGTTACTTAGCACCGTAAGAGACATCGATAAACAATTAACGGTATTTGTTGCCGGTGAGCGCTATTCATGAGCACCTTATTTTAATAACATCCAGTGGATTTAAACTAATATATCTAGTCCCTATGTATCAAGGGTGGCATTCTACAACATAACACTTTAAAAAAACAGTAGATTCTAGAGGTTGTGACCTGTATGTAATATACCACTGACATACTTGCAATTGGAACTCACAGAATTACTAGTGAAATTAAAATCCCATAGGATGCGTATGTACCACTACCCTGCCTATTTCTACCGTGAAGCAGTAATGCGTTTCGGTTTCAAGGGTGGGTCAGCCACTGTAACTATACTGAGATCTTAGAACTATATCTCAAGGTGTGTGGCGCATTTACGTTGTAGATGTCTATGGGCTCCAGTAACCACTTAACACCAGGTGGGCTGTGAGCTCGTCCACACACCAAAGCAATAAAATAAAAAAAAAGTACATGAATTCTTGGACATTTATTTTCTTGGAGTAAGCCAGTAAGTAAGTTCATCACCCCACATGTTCAATAATTTGTGAGAAAATTTATGTTAAAACTGGTCAAATTGGTATATCTGACATTGTTTCTACCCAAATATGTAGAAGGCTTAACGTAGAATTGATTTCTTTAATAATAACATTACAATGTATTTTGATTTCAGTTCCAAGTACGAACATAACAGAAAATAATGTGTCCTCGACCGAATGTTTTGACATTAAATCAGAAATGAATGAAGATTCTCCCTTCGAGAGCGAGTATAGTTGTGGTATGTCATTATTATTTAGAATCAAACGTTACTAAATCATAAAAAATATTAAATTAACAAAACAAAACAAATCTAAATACTTGACACCACACATTTTTCTGAGTCCGCAGGGGTAGGTGCCACCCCCCTGACTATTTCTGCCGTGAAGCAGTAATGCGTTTCGGCTCGAAGGGTGGGGCAGCCGCTGTAACTATACTGAGACCTTAAAACTTGTATCTCAAGGTGGGTGGCGCATTTCCGAAAATCCTTGGGCCCGCGATCTGCTTTCAACACCTGCAGATCGTTAAGTCTCACATACCCCGCGCGCCCTAGGCGCGGGGACCTCGTAGGAGGTTCGGCACCCGGCTCGAAAAAAAAAAAAAAAAAGCGTGGCGCATTTACGCTGTAGATGTCTGTGGGCTCCAGTAACCATTTAACACCATGTGGGCTGTGAGCTCGCCCACCCATCTAAGCAATAAATAAAAAATCCATCAAAAATGAAACCAAAGTTGAGTCTTGAGACAAGTTGGTAATACCCCCACTACATGTTTTCATTTCAGTTCAAAGTGTGAACGTCCCGGAAAACAATGTTTCCACAACGGCAGGGATTGAAATAAAATTGGAAATGAATGAAGATTGTCCAGATCAGAATGAAGATAGTTGTGGTATGTTTTAACATAATATGGAGTGAAACTTTGCCACTTTAAGAGCCAATTTTTAGGTCGTCGCGACCTAAAGGATGAGACGCTTAATACATTCACTATAATTTATTATTTATGTTTACAAACATATTTATATTGATAGTGTTTTTTTTTTTCTTCGTCTTTCATAATTACTTTTTCTCTTCTCCACAACAAAACAGAAATGAACATGGCCAACGATCTAAAATCTAATCTTGTAGACGGAGAACTAGAACTCCTAAGACGGTTTCCTGTTGGTAAAGTGATGCTGCTTCCTACGAGACAAACCCTGCGAGGTCATTGTCCGTTGTTCGTGAAATATTTGGAGAAAATGAAAGGTTTGATTTTGATATTATCAAACAGTTGCTATATTATTATAATATTACTAATTTGTCTCAAAGATCCTGGAGGTATTTGCCGATTTACCAACGAGACGGCAGTCAGAATGTGCGGTAGTCCGAAATTAAATTTAAAGCTGTTGTAGCCTTTTTAAGCTTTTATCGCGGGCTTTGAGTGTGGCGACCGAATCCAGAAATTCCGTAACGAAAATAAAACCTAACACCCCCATTTCGCCTACCATGTAGCCCACGGTCAACACATTCACACGTTGCGCTTGTGTAATGTTTATGAAAAAGTTCGCGGCGTGACGTCGCACTGCATGCGCATCATGAAAAGTCTGCCCATATCTCTCTCTCTCGTGCGGTCTAGCTTATAAGTGTGAAGGGGACAGTTAATGTTTTGCTTTTGTTAATGCTTATAAATATGGCGTGGTCTTATTTTATTATTACTTAGTAATCACTTAACACCAGGTCGGCTGTGAGCTCGTCCACACCTAAGCAATAAAAAAAATAAAAAAGTCCGTTATACCAACCGATAGACACAGTGGTGAGTATCTAGGCCGTTAACTGAATTAACGAGTAAAAATGTTAAATTTTTATGGAGTTAGGAGGCAGAAGAATCATTTAATCAACTTAAAACTGCTCTTATCCTGGCTTCTATTTTAAAATTGACGCCCAACGTGGGGCCAATTTTGTAACGGCAAAAGTGTATTGCAGATGTTGTCAAGCCATGGCCCGCAAAAACCACTGCTATGTAGGAATGTCAGTCCGCGGGCCGCAATAATTTTAATGATATATTGTACTGTGTTACATGCTTGCTCCTAGTGCTAGAGCTGCAGGCGTCTAATAGTCGTATTAATGAATCGGGTCGAACTTTTACTGTAAATGGGTGAATCTGCTCACGGCTCACCTAGTATCGAATGATGAGTCCATGATAACGTGAATACATTGAAGTCTCAATTGCACTTCATCACTAACGGTGCTTTTAGGCACTCCAAACACCCATCAGCGTTCTCGTCGAACGAACCAATAGCGAAAAAGCGTTCATCGTTCAAATTAACCCATAGACACAGCTCACTGAGTTTCTCGCCGGATCTTCTCAATAGGTCTCGATTCCGATCCGGTGGTAGATTCTGCAAAGCACTCTAGTGTTAGCTAATTCTCTTAGATTGAGTCTGTGAGGTCACCTACCCGTCCGCGCATAGCTCGAATAGCCCCTTAGGCTGCCAGCGATTAGGTAGGGGAAAAAAAATGTGAGCCGTCACGGAACGCCTAGCAGATGTGAAACATCGACATTATTTTGTAAAAGTAATATGCAAAAAAGAACAGATTGTGATAGGAACTAAATATGACATAATGATAAAATAAAATATTACGAAAAAATAATTTATTTTCAAGTAAAACACAGGTTGTGTGTACTGTAGTAAACAACACAGTATACACTATAAGTATCCGAGCTCAGTGTAGCGAGAGAGATGGCTTAACGCCGGATCGAGTGGGAGAGAATCGCACTATCGCACAGTCGATTGCGCATGGCGACGCGTCTCCACGGCATGCGTCGCCACGCCAGAAATCGGTTTTACGTGCGGCTATAGATGTTTCGCATCAAAAAGATTATTATGTTTATGTGTACAATAAAGTATTCTCTCTCTCTCTCTCTCCTCTCTCTCTCCTCTCTTTCTCTCTCTCTCTACTAATATCTGATTTTAACGCACAACAGGAAAACGGATAACACCAACGAACATAACAAAACTACTACACGGTAAAAGTAGGTCGCGCACGAGAAATGGACTAGACAAAAATTACGTCACCGAGAAACTGGCGAACACAATAAACGCGTGCACCCTGCTGGAGAATTCGAACGCGACAATATTCAAAACGAAAACCAGAGCCGGATATCCGTGCTTCTACTGTCGCGAAATATTCGGCAGCATGGACGACTTGAGGGCGCACCAGCCAGAGCATCCCAAGTCGGGCCTCTTCAAGTTGTTCAGCAGGTACACGGCGGACTCGCTCGTCGTGTACGCTGACGTCACAGACTTGAGGTGCACGATCTGCGAACAAAACGTGCCGAATCTGAACGAGCTGAAGACGCACTTGAGGCGGGCGCACGCGAAAAACTACTACGCCGATTTCGAGGACCGAATAGTACCGTTCAAACTGAAGGGCGGCAGCGACTTTGAATGTCAAGATTGCGGCTTCAACTTCGAGACCTTCGGCGCTATAGAGCGGCACATGAACGTGCATTACCGGAACCGGATCTGCGAGCAGTGCGGCGCCGGTTTCGTAACGATGCACAGATTAAAAATCCACAATTACACCGTCCACAGAGAAGGCTCGTTCCCTTGTGGCATATGCAAGAAAATCTACGTCTCGTATTACAAATACAAGATACATTTCGATGTCGTTCATAAGTTGGAGAAGAAGAACAAATGCCCGAAATGTCCGGAGAAGTTTATTGATTATTTCACGAAGCAGAAGCACCTGGTCGAGAAGCACGGCGCGGCGCCGATACGGTACAAATGCAACGTGTGCGACCGCAGCTTCACGAGACGTTTCTCCCTGACCGGCCACATGAGGAGGCGCCATCTCGAACAGAAAGAGATAAAATGCGCGCACTGCCAGTACATGTGCTACACGAAATGGGAATTGAAGGTTCACATGACGAGGCACGGCGCCGAAAAGCTCTTCGAGTGTGGCCTCTGTAAGAAGTCTTACACCCGACAGAAGGCCCTGAAGGAACACGCGAAGGTTCATTTTAACGATAGGCGTTATCCGTGCGACGTTTGCGGTCAAAGCTACACGCAGAACTGCGCATTAAAGGAGCATCTGAAGACTCATCACCCGGATTTTGATGGAACGCAATAATTGGTACAGAGTATGTTGCAATTCTGCAATGGTGTTTTAGTTGACAGTGACGTAAGTTACGTGTCAGAATGTTTGTTTTGGCGGGAAATTTGAATAAGTTTTTGACGGATTTTGAAAATCCCGTCAAAACGAGGCAAGTGAATGGCGTCTATCTCGCTCGCTCGATAGAATCTTAACAGCGGTGACGTTATAAACAAACATTTATTTCTTGTTACGAATTGGAAATTAATCTAACTTACACGTTTCTGGTAAAATAATCTGTGGCGAAGAAATACAGCCTTGCGGTATTGAGGTTGTATGGGCTTGGTTAGTGCTAGATGTATGTGAGCTTACATGAACATTGACGTCAATAAGTACGAGTTATGATGATCCCAAGTTTTGGTTTCGTTTACTGGGATTTTGAGATGAGAGGATCTTGTCTGTCCGGCGTATTAATTTGTTTGGGCACCCCGGGCTTTTGGTTCGTGGATGAAAACTTGTAACGTGCCAAATGAAAAAAAAACCTTGTTCCTTTACACATTAAAGTGATTGAAAATCGTATTTATGTTTTATTTTTTACTGATTGTTTAAAAAGATATTCTATTCACAGAATTGGAAACATTATAATCACTATAGAAGTATACATACCGTGTTCTAGTTATATTGGTGATTTGTATCTTTAAAGTCGTCGTGGCCTAAAGGATGAGACACCAGGCGCATCCGTATCAAGCGCCGCGACTGTGCAGGTGTTCGAATCTCGCAGGCGGATACCGATTTTTATAATGAAATACGTACTAGACAATTATTGTTCGCGAGTGACTTCCACGGTGAAGGAATGACGTCGTGTAATAAAAATTAAACCCTCTAAATTTTTAGTTACCGTCATGACTGGTGGTAGGACGTCTTGTGGGTCCGCACAGTTAGGTGCCACAGCCCTGTCTATTTCTACCGAATCGGTAATGCCTTTTCGTTTGAAGAGTGGGGCAGCCGTTGTACTGTAAAAACGGAGACCTTAGAACTCATGTCTCAAGGTGGATTTACGTTGTAGATGTCTATGAGCTTCGGTAAACACTTAACCCACCAGGTGGGCCGTGAGCTTCGTCTACCAAACTAGGCAAAAAAAACTACTCATGACACTAATGACATGAACGTAGTATACGCTACAAACGAAAGCCCGACGTGTAATTATTTTGATCACTTCCGACCAAAAAAAATCTGCTGTATAAAAATCTGTAAAACATTTCTGTTATCAGTCGCCCAAAAATTACCATCGCACCACAAGCCACCCGAGTAGAATTCATCCATACTACCTGGAGCCACTCCGTTCATCCACAGTGCGTTTCCAGAGATCTTTTTGCCACGTACCATCCGGTTTTGCAATGAGCTCCCCTCCACAGTTTTTCCGAGCGCTATAACATGTCCTTCTTTAAACGAGGCTTATGGAGAGTACTTAACGGTAGGCAGTGACTTTGCTTTGCCTTTTGCTGATGTCTAGCATTGTTTGGTGGTCTAGTAACAGTATAATTCGTCACATCTAACCAAATGGCACCGGCATTACTGAGGATACCTATGTACTGTAAGGAACTGGACACAATGATGGAGAAGCTCGCGAAACTCCGGCCAACCTTAGCTTAGCTTATAGCTCGTCCCCGCCGCTCCTTAACGACAACGCTCGACCTCATACGCCCCAACAGACGGTTTCTGGTCAGGGCTACCTCTTGTAGGTTTACTCTTGTAAGCTTAAAGGTTAGCTCTTGCTAGGGTTTAAAGTCTTGCGTCTTGCACCGTACTCACCAAGCCTTGCGCCGACGTACTTCTACCTTTTCCAAAGCTTGGACAATAGCTTGTCAAGGAAAAAATCCGTACTCGAGAGGTAATACAAAATGCCTTTTAGGAGTTTGTTGGCTCCCGTACATCTAACTTCTCCCAGAAGGTCATGGAAAATTCACCACCGCGCTAGTATACATCGAAATTATTATGGCGTATGAGGTTGATGTGTGTGAAGGGGTTTTAAAGCAATGGGTATGGTAAATAAATTTTCATTAGTTTTCTTTGTATACATAATGTTTATTATGACATACGCACAATTAATCACAGCTATATTGGGCATAAGAATTGCTATATAAGAAAACAAGCTCAGTAGAAGATATCGAAAGGCGAAACATAAATCTCTGGTGCATGTGAAAATATATCTTTTTTTCTTATCTAATCGCTGGTAGCCTAAGAGGCTATTTCAGCTCCGTCCTAGGTTACACGCCGGATCTTCTCAGTGGATCGCGATTCAGATTCGGTTGTAAATATAATGAAGCACAGTGCTTGCTAAGGCTACTTACTGTCAGCAAATTCTCTTAGGTTGAGCTCGAGACCTCAAGTAACCGTTCGATCGTAGCTGTAATAGACATTTAGATAACCAGCGAAAAAACTTCAAGGTACCAAACCTGTAGTACCTTCAAGTAATGTAGGGGTTTCATATTGCCTAAAGCCCCTTTTGGACGCCAAAAACTAGGCTGGACCCTCAACGATAAATAAACTCCCAATTAGTCGGGGCGTCTTAGAAAGAAAAATGATAATATTCCGCTATGAAATTGCGGACATAAAAACTAATTTTAGCTTCCTCTGGTGGCACAGTCCTTAACGTACCGATGTGGTCACTATTAAGGGTCCTACTACACCGGAGTTACAACGCCGGGAAAGGTCAGCAGCCTGAACAGAGTCGAAAAGAGCCCTACAGTAAAACCTCGAAAATTTCTGCTAATAGCTCAGTGGCGCAAATTTTGAGAATTCCTATAGTGTACTGAAAAATTTGAAAATAATTTTATTAGGTCTCCCAATAAATCAATTTGTCAGTGCATAATGTAATTTCCATAAATCTAAGGGTCTGTCACACGGCGAAGATTGTTGTCTACAAAACTGGCCAATTTTAATGGTTTCAATTTTAGTTCGCCCTGCGCTTTAAAAGATAGCCCACAAAGTTTCTCACCGGATCTACTTAGCGGGTCGCGATTCCGACCCTGTGGTACATTCAGCGAAGCATTGCTCTAGCTAAGGCCGATGTTGGCAACATTTCCTAGGTTGACCCCGTGAACTGACCTGTCCGCACGTAGCTGAAATAACCCCTTAAGCAACCAGCGATCAAAAAACCTTCTGAAACTCTCAAATCTATACAAGGAAAGGAAACGTAGACAATAAATTAAAACGCAATTTCCAAATATATTTATTATGCTAAATTATATTCGAGATGGTGCGTCTTCATGTGTCCCTTTAAGCTGCATTTCTGCACAAAAGCCTGGCCGCAGACTGCGCACGCGAACCTGCGGTCATTATTGTGGATCTTCATATGTTCACTCAAAGTCTTCTTGCGGGCATACGATTTTTTACAGACCGAACACTCGTAAATCTTCTCCCCGTTGTGCTTTATCATGTGCATACTCAACTGTTTATTCGAGAAACATTTATAGGGGCACAGCTCGCACTGAAAATTCTTCTCCTCCAAATGATCCCTCTTCATGTGCATCGAGAGATTGTAGCGTCGACTGAACGATTTTTCGCAGACATTACATTTGTACTTGATGCTTGGCACCCCGTGGACATCTTCCAGATGCTTCTGCCTATAAACGTATTCCGTGAACCGCTCCGAGCATTTATTGCAGCGGAACCTCTTCACCATTTTGTGTACAGAATTGATATGATTCTTCAGTCGGAGTTGCGTTACGAACATCTTTCCGCACATCTCGCAGGGGAACGCCCCGCCGACGTGCGTGTTCCCGAAGTGCACTTTTAGTCTGGCCCTCGTCACGAAACCCGTGCCGCACTCTTTACATATATAATTCCGGTAATGAACGTTCATGTGACGCTCGATCGCGCCGAAAGTCTCGAAATTACATTCGCAAACCTGACACACAAACATATTCACGTCCAACTTGAACGGTATCAAGCGATCCGTGAATTCGCTGTAGTATTTCATCTTGTGAACGCCGGTCAGATGCGATTTCATCTCGTTCAGGCTCTTCAAAAACTGACCGCATATGGTGCAGGCCAAATCGGTAACGTCCACGTTCACGACCAAACTCTCCGTGATGTACGTCTTCAGGATGCCGTTAATCAGTTCCTTGTCGTGTTCGGAGGTGTGCTCGCGGAGTTTTGTTGCGCTCTCGAATATATTCGGACAATAGAAACACAAGAATCCCTTCCGGCCTCTGCTTTTGAAGGGCGTCATGTTCGAATATTTTAAGAGTGTGGTCGCGTTGACGACCTGACCCACTTTCTCGGTTATGTAGACATTGCCGGCGATCATGGGACGCCTGCTCTCATTCTCTTTGAGTAGTTTCTTTAACGTCCTAGGGAATACCGTTATTCCTGTAATTTCATAGACCTTGAGAATTTGCAACGGACCGAGCAACTGTAGGCCCACACCAGTAGCTACCAATACCCTACCTCGACAAGGCAACAAAGCAGGAGATTTGGTCGCGGCACAAAGAAAAAGAAAGACCACCCACCATCTTCAGGCGCAAAGCTATCATGTGTTCCGGTTTCAAGTGCAGCTGTCGTATAGAGTACAAGTAAGAATTCAACCTTATACCTCAGGGTGGTGGCATTTGTGATGACTATGGACTCTTGTTGCTTTACAGCAGATGGGCCGTGATCTCGTTTACCGATCTACGCTTCAAAAAAGGGCTACAAGTTTCGCGGGTACTATGAAATTCGTTTAATTCCCCCGGGGCATTAACTTTGTGAGGTCTGTATGCAGCGGCGACCACTAAGCATCAAATTGAACGGGTTGGTTGTTAGCCACCTGTAGCGAAATTATAGTAATTCCTTCAAGTCGTCGTGGCCTAAAGGATAACACGTCCGGTGCATTCGTATCTAGCGATGCAACGGTGTTCGAATCCTGCAGGTGGGTACCGATTTTTCTAGTGAAATACGTACTTAACAAATGTTCATGATTGACTTCCACGGTGAAGGAATAACATCGTGTAATAAAAATCAAAACAGCAAAATTATATTTTGCGTAATTACTGGTGGTAGGACCTCTTGTGAGTCTGCACGGGTAGGTACCACCACCCGGCCTATTTCTGCCTTTAAGCAGTAATACGTTTCTGTTTGAAGGGTGGGGCAGCCTTGTAACTATACTGAGACCTTAACATTTATCTCAAGGTGGGTGGCGCATTTACGTTGTAGATCTATATGGGCTCCAGTAACCACTTAACGCCAGGTGAACTGTGAGCTGTTTTTCTTTCTTTCCAATTACCCTAGCATAGGGTATAGGGTGATAAGAAAGAAAGAAGAAGAAGATTTACTAGTACTCGACAAGTCTTATTCTGAGAACGAATTTATGGTTTTTTTAGGACGGGAATAATTACTGATGGCCTGGAGTCCTTCCTAAATTCACTAGGACAGGTGGGCAAGCATGGAGAGGACATTTATGGGTGGTAACTAGTTATAAGTGTACATGACTCATACCTGTTCTAGAAAATGTGGCAAATGAGAGTTAAAACCCATTGTCGGCTTACTGTATTAATTTATTTGTAAAACTCACCCTTGAGCAAATCCAAATGTCTGGCGTAATTAGGACATATCTGTCTTAAAGTGTGCCTAGTAGGAAGTGGATCCAGAACTTCGCTCCTGAACCGAGCCAGTAACTCTTCCTCGCCCTCCACCAGATCCTCTCTCACATCCAAGTCTGTAAATAGAGCGTCATTTGATTTCCACACAAACGCTAAACTTGAACTTCTTAGGATTTTCTTCACATTTCTCTAGTCGCAGCCACAAAATTATTTTAACGATTTAATTTCGTTTTTATTATTCCAAAATCTTCGAATACCTTACAGTTTTCTTGGCCACGGAGGGATCGAGTCATTAAAAACAGTAGAGATACATTTGTAGGATTGGTAAGAACGGAACCTATGAAAAGAGTGAAACGAAGCGTTAAGATGTGAGTGAGAGAAAACGGGAAGAAAGAGAGAAGAGAATGACAGAGAATTGGAGCAAGACGTAATAAAAGTGTTAAATATTAATTATTATTAGAAGAGAAGATTTTGGAACAGAGGAAGTATTATTTTACGATCCCTATTCTACACATTTTATTTTTGACCTCTTAAAAACCTAGTGGGAACAGCCGGTAGAAAAAACAATATTAATAAGCATAAATACTTTTTATCGCAATTTTTTTGTGCTGTGAGAAAATGCAATAAAAATATATGCATTGCACTTTCTCAAGATAGTTGACCTCAGCTTCAGCTGTTTTCTAATTATTATTTTTGTTGTTGCTTAAGTTGGTGGACGAGCTCACAGCCCACCTGGTGTTAAATGGTTACTGTAGCGCATGTACATCTACAACGTAAATGCCGCCGCCCACCTTTAGATATAGGTTCTAAGGTCTTAGTATAGTTACAACGGCTACCTCACCTTTCAAACCGAAATGCATTACTGCTTCACGGCAGAAATAGGCAGGGTGGTAGTACTTACCCGTGCGGACTCAAACACCGGTGCATCGCTAGATACGAATGCACCGGACGTCTTATCCTTTAGGCCACGACGACTTTGACTTTTCCAACTTTTAATAAAAAAAATTACGTGATTTTTAATATCACCAGTTATGCCTGTCTGTTTCCAAGGAGGTTGCAATTAGATGTACGAGTACTTTAAAATTACCGATAAAAGTTGTAAATGTTCTGTGATCACCTCACCGATATCATAATCGTCATCAACAGTATTATCTAGGCCGAGGAGTTCATCATCTGAGTCCTGAGGCTCCTCCTTTATGTCACTGTTTTGTTCTACCTTTATATCAAACTCTGTGTCTGGTGACGATTCATCGACTGGAACTGAGAAATAATTGTATCTCTAAGACAGTTTGTTCTATGGGACGTTGTAGACAATTCATCAAATTATGATGAAACTTGGCACACCTACCACTGTCACTTCAGTTAGGCTTTTTATTTTATTTTCATCGATTAGACCGTGAATAAGAGCACAGCCCACCCTGCATGAAACTTTACCAGAGACCTCATAAATGACTTAAGACGTGAAATCTGAGTCTTTGTTGTATAGTAAATACACAAATTATATATTTTGCAGTTTTGTTTTTTATTATATAATGGTATACATATTTACAATGGAGTCATTCGTGAACCTGAATTGAGTACAGATTTCATTCAAAAAATTGGTACCTGCCTTGAATGTCAGTATAGTTGTACCGTGGATATGTGTGCACTTGGTGGCTTACCCTGCAGAATATTATTATGACACATAATATGACAAGAGGTGCTTGTTTCACAATGTACGTGTATTTCATTAATTTAATATTAATCAGCAGTGCAGCAAGTTGCATTCGTGTAAAATAATAAATTTATTTTACCAGTTTAACTTTAGTCATTATTTTATTACCAACATAAGACTCAAATTAGCCTGCATTTGAATGAAGCACTTTAGGAGATGTCCTGGAACTGTGTCTGATTCGTATGTACAGAAATGCACAGCACTAGAATTTTTTTTAATTGCTTAGATGGGTGAACTAGCTAGAACTTGACCCACCCAGTGTTAAGTCGTTATCAAAACTCATAGACATCTACAATGTCAATGATGCCACCCATCTAGAGACAAGATTTGTATGATCTCAGTTTTAATAGTACAATGGCTGCCCCACCCTTCAAACTAAAACGCATTACTGCTTCACGGCAGAAATAGGCAGGGTGGTGGTACCAACCCATGCACTGGACCTCCGATCACCAGTAAGTTTAAGGAGCCCAAGAAGAGCTGGCCTTTTAAAGGAACTGGGATAAAAAAAAACTATTTTTTATTCTAAATCCAAACTGAATCTGATGTGTGTGCAATACTGACCATTGACAAAGACAGGCTGCCCCTGACCTCCAACAGCTTCTAGAAGTTTCCGTTCTGTATTTACGACTAGGTTCCTGAAGCGACATGCATCCCGGAGCCTTGATACACAACTCGAACAAATTAATGTTGTCAGCTGTTTGTGAGTTGATAACTGTAAGATAATAAACATGATATGTTGTATACGCAGCTTATTGGAATAGATTTTCTTTTTATTATTGCTACTGTATCTACTAATTAAAAGAGCAAACCCTGTGTTTTTTCCGATTCTTCTCAGTATTGAAACTACGCTCCGAGTGAAGGAGGGTTTGTAAAAAAAATTTATTGAACTTTATATTTTAGAATTTCTTTAAAATGGACTGTCTACTTTATTCGTAAATAAGAGGTGCAATAAGTTTTTTTTAATACAACAAATTATTTGTCGTAGTAAATAAACTCACATTATTTCGCACATACATTTTCGAATTTCGGAATTCGTCTTATATATGTTTACTTACAAATAAATTGAAGCACTCGATAAAATTGTCAATGAACACTTCTCTTAGACCATTGTGATAATATTCCTTCGTAATATCTCTGTGTTTGCCTTTTGCTGAACAACACCTGCATTCTCCGTATTTCTTATTCGACATTCTGAGTTAATTTCATTCAGAAATCCATTAATTTAAATTTTTTTGTGGAAGTTTGTTTTCTGTTTTAGCATCTTTGACATTTGCTTATTTTTTTAGTAACAAATTCAGGGTTGCGGTTACAATACTTTCAAGCCTATGTTGATTTACAATGCTGGTAACAATACAACTGAAATGAGAATACCCTGTAAGGTATAGACTAGCATTTCGGCCTAGTCTAGCGTTGTTTAGGTGGGTACAACTACTCTTTATCCTATCTATGATAATGAAGGTGTAAACCGAGCAATGAGAGACAGAAGATTTCTATTAATGTAAAGATACAATGGGTGTTATAGTATTTGGATGAGCAGCTCCAGTAACCACAGGTAGGCCATGAGAACTTTCATCCGACTGTGCATTAATAAAGACAGGTTTAGCTCTATATTTCAATGGTATATTAATTACGCAAATGTGCACAAATACGGGGGAAGCATTAATTATTAATTAATTTATTAAAATCTATTCTGGCAATTCGAAAATCGTTCTGGAAACTGGAAGGTTAAATGTCATTAGTATGGAATGAAATCTGAACGTAAAACCTTATTTTTTGCTTAAATAAACTGTGGCAGTACATAAAGCGCAATCGACCGACAAATTAAAAAAATAGAAGAGATATTAGTACTTAAGTAATCATTTTGGGACTTTTGGCGAGAGCGCGAGGAGTGAGTGAGGGAGTTTTGTCTATTTAGTGTTTCTTCCGGTTTAAATGCGTAATAATGGTGGTTTTGTGACTGTTTAGTATCTGTGAACGCGCACAAATGTGGGAAAATAAAACAAAGATGACGGACGTAACTTCTCGGGATCGTCTAAAAAAAAAGTGCACTAAAAAGTCTCAGTAAATAACCACCATTTTACTGAGAGTATATTTCATCCCATATCATTTCATCTCATCTCATTTCATTTAATTTCATCCCAGTTGATTAATGTCATTTCATTTCATTTCACTCCATATTATCATTTTTCATAAATATAATATAAATAAAAATAAGACATGATTTAAAAGTCTTAGTTACCAGGTCAAAAATCCCAAAAAAAAGTTAATAGACGTACGGACTTTTTGGCGGGAATATGAGGATTGCATTTGTATGTTGTTTTATTTTGATAATTTAGTTTTTATTCGGATTTAAATGTAATTACGGTGGCATATTAACTGTTTAGCATCTTAAATATTAAGTGTATTATTTATGATTTATTGTGAGAGTACACAAATGTGGGTAAATGAAGCAAAACCTTCGGACGTGGCCTCACGGACTCTTCCCAAAAGTCCACTGAAGTCTCTGGTAAATAACCACAATTTTACTGAGAACGGTTTTCATGTCATTTCGTTTCGTTTCATATAATTTCTTTATATAACTTTATTTACCGAAAATAATAATAATTGAACATTTTTATCAATTCGACATTGACAACAATAGTACTTACCTATTGCAAGAAGCCAATTTGCATATTAAATGAAAAGACGAAGAATACACGTACAAAATAAATCTTTATTTCTCGCTTAGTCTCGCTTTTAGCGACTACATTTTTCACAAAACTACAAAAGTACATATGACGCGACATCAATAGAAAGTACAAATATATTTATAATATTATGTCTGTTCGTCCCGTATTACAATTAAATTGGTTAGTTGATACCTGTTCGGTACGCATCGAGGGGTGAATAACATTTGTTTTAAGCGATATTGTTACAACTTTACAGAAGAGCCTTTTAAAGTTAAAATATTTGGAAAAACATATCGTAACAAAAAAAAGCTACTTCAGCTATTTGAATTGGGTAAACTTAATATTGAAGTTTAATGAAAAACATCGAATTGTTGATACTGATACCAAATAAAACGGACCTTTCATTCCAAAAATAAACATCCTTTAGTATGTTCATGCCGGCGCCGGCGTGACCCACCGGTACGTCACACTTGACTATTGCATGGGGTGACGTGCATCACAGGTGAGTCACTTTCAGAAAATAAGTCGTTAAAAAAATTAGGTTTTTTTTGACTCTAATAACAGATTCTTCGGACGAACCACTTTCTTCCACATCCATTGGATCTATAATATAAGTGAGCAAAAATTGAAAAAAAAATGCTAACCGTCTCTATAGAAGAAAATATAATTTTACCTTCATTTGATGCAAGAAATGTACAAATAAATTTGTAATATGTCTGTTCGTCCCGTAGTACATTTAAATTGTTTTTTTGATACATGTTCGGTACGTATTTGTTTTTAAAAAACTAATACTTACCTCAGTGTTCGAATCTCCGTTTTAAATGAATTCAACGCAACAATGACGTCATTTGTCAGTATCGCGCGAAAATTCTATCCTGTGGAGAGTTATTTCATGGAGACTAGTGCTTAGTTTTATTTTTACAAAATTAACAAATTTACATTTCAATGGCTTATCGTTTATTTTCTACTTTTATCAGTTTTATCAAACATAGCTTACAATTAATTTTACGGTTTAATCTCGCCTTTATTAATGGCATCCGTGACTGAAGACAGCTGTCCAGTTTTTGTGTAACGTCGCAAATAATATTGCAAAGTAAGTACATAACTCTCAAACGTTCTTTGCCCTAATGTATTCTGCATCAAATATTAAATGTCGCATCTACACATCTACTCATTGTAGAGTCGTTTAATAAAATAGGTTAGGTACTCTTCCTAAATAAGACAGTGTGTATCATTGTACTATGCAATAAAACGATTTAAATCTCTATCGATAATTTTTTCAATAATTAACCCAGTCCAGATAAATTAACCCTTTGACCGCCACGTAAACCCGTGGTGCCTTACACGGCACACTAAAGTAATTATGTCGATTTCTGGATCGTCCAACTTTGGTTTCTTTTATTTCTAACGTATAACGTAATTAGGTCTCTTACTCTTAGATTCATTCTGGGACTCTACGGATTGGCTTACTAGATCGAAATAATTACTTCAGTGCGCTGCAAGTGCACGTGTGACCCAAATGGTGTGGCGGCAGCAATCATACAACACAATATATTTAACAAATACCTGAATCTCGTTTGCGACATTTTCAAAATAAGCTTGCATATATACAAGTTCCGAACAACATTCGGACCGTCAGTTTGTAGGTATAATCACGGAGGAATAATCTTCGACCAAGCCATATCACCCGCTCGGTCATTATACCTACAAACAGGGCAGTCAAAAAGTTAATTGACATCATAAAGAGGCGAAATTAAACCGTCAATGAAGTTTTGTTTACGATTCGCTAAAATCGTACAGCTAGAGAACCCTAAGAGTTGCTTATGTATAATTTATAACGACAACTTCGTTATTGTTCGAATGAATTTTGAAGTGCGTCACCAGCGCCGCTTTCGAGGAGTATCTCCTTTCGCACATCGGACACACGTGGTTCTTGGCGCCGTTATGCCTGGACTCGACGTGCCGACTCAAATCTCCATTCTGAGAAAACTTTTTATCGCAAACTGTGCACTCGTATTTCCTGTCGCCATGGACCTTCCTCAGATGCGCGATGTAGTACTGCCGCCAATTGAATATCTTGCCGCACATGTCACAGCTGATCTCCTTAACTTTCTCCCTGTGGTTCGCTTCGATATGCTCCTTCCTCTCCCTATCGCTTGGCAGCTTCTCCGGGCAGTGGTAACACTTGTAGTACAACCTGGCTTTGTGAACGACCGCCTCGTGCTTCTTGAGGTAATGCTCTAGACCGAACACTTTGTTGCAGTATTTGCACGTGTGCTTCCCAACATCGTGCTTCTTGGAGTGATTCTTTAGCCTGGCAGCCGATATGAAGGTCTGGCCGCAATCGTCACAGACGTAGTTGTCGTAGTGGCTGTTCATGTGGACGTCGAGCTGGACATAGTTCGTGAAGTGTTGCTTGCAGAGCACGCAGTCAGGCTCCTCGTCCAAGATATACGGAATGACCCTTTTGTACGCGTAGGTGAAGACGATACCGTGTGTATTCTTTAAATGCCTAAATAGACCATTCCAGTCGTCCATCGGGATGCAACAGACCACACAAATGAGGTTTTTCACGTCTAACTTTAAGATTTCGTTCATCGCGTGAGGTCTCATCATGAGGTCGACCTTCTTCGTTCGCTCGTCGATGTGGTTTGTGCGCGTGTGGTTGCGGAGGTCGTCCGCCGTTTGGAAATACACTTCGGTGCAATAGGCGCAGCTGTAGGTGGACATTTTACTTTTGTAGGGCGTGGCATTCGTGAATGAGAGTATTTTTTTTATTTCCTTTATGAATACGTACATCTCTTCTCGTGCCGGGTCTACACCTGGAAATAAAAGTTTGTATTGCGTTACGAAATAAGCTTCACGGTGTAACTGTTGCTTTTTATTTTTTCTACCTATTCGCTTGTGGTCTAGAGGACTAGTCCAGCTAGGCCAGGACGCGTACGTGAGTGCTAACACTAGTCCTAGCAAGAGCAGTGCTTCTCTACTACCAAGTGGGAATCGCGACCCACTTAGAAGATCTGACGAGAAACTCAGTAGGCCCAAGTGATGCTCTGTAGTCCCCACAGCAACTGACGCGCGGCATTATCACCGCACACGGCCCACCTGGTAAGTAGTTACTGGGGCCTATAGACATCTACAACGAAAATGTCTCAGTATAATTACTCAATGTAGTAAGGCGTTTTTCTCACCACAGAGTACAGTGAAAACTACCTACTAGTCGAACATCGACATTTCAACAATTTACCTTTTTTATGGATAGCTTTTTTATCCCTGGTGGACTATCAGTGAACTGTTTCTGGATAAACTATATAAGAAGAGTGAAAATCGTTCCTAATTTATCTTTTTTTGTGTGTGACAATCAGTTATCGTGTGTGTGGTTTGACGATATTACAAAATGGCTGGAAGTTACATTGTCAACGTGCCTAAATTGAAAGGTCGCGAAAACTTCGACGAGTGGGCGTTTGCAGCTGAACATTTTTTGATGTTGGAAGGTGAAGTTAGAATCATCAACCGATGCTAGTTCTATTGATGAAAAAAAAGCTAAGCTAAACTTATTATGACAATTGACCCTTCAATTTATGTTCACATTAAAAACGAGCAAACAGTACAAGATGTGTGGAAGTGTTTAAAAGCCCTGTATGATGACTGTGGCTTCACGCGTCGCGTCAGTCTACTTCGTCAGCTAATATCAATTCGATTAGAAGATAGCGAATCAATGGAAGCATATGTAACGCAAATGGTCCACACTGCACAAAAACTTAAAAGTACGGGTTTTCAGATCATTGATGAGTGGATCGGTTCACTATTATTAGCGGGCCTAACAGATAAATTTGCTCCTATGATAATGGCCATTGAACATTCTGGATTACCCTACGATTAGCTTACGGATGCCTTCAAGTCAAAATTACTGGACATGAGTTCAGAAGTTGGCAACACTGCAACGAACAATGCCTTTTTGTCGAAAGGTTGGCAGCACCGAAAAAAGAAAAATGGGTCTAAACAAAAAACGACATCGCCGGCTGCTAGTTCTGTTAATCATAAAGCAATCAGATGCTATAAATGTAAAGAGTTAGGTCATTATATGAATAAATGTAAAAATATACAAAATAAAGGTGAAAGCAATCATTTAATGCAATATTTTGAAATGAAAGTTTTCATAAGAATAATTGGTACATACATTGGTACTCAGGCGCAAGCTCACATATGATAACAGAAAAGAGTTGCTTACAGAATGTTTCCTATAACCACACAGTAAGGGAAATAATAGTTGCAAATAAAGACAAATTACCTGTAAAATGCTCAGGAAACACGATGACAACGACGATTTTCGGTCATTCAGAATTTAGCATTCCTGTTAATGATGCGTTATGTGTATCTAACTTATCGACTAATCTATTATCAGTAAGTCAGATGATTTGTAATGGAAACAAAGTGGGCTTCGAAGAAGACGTTTGCTAGATACGCAATCGACAGAATGTGCTGGTAGGAAAAGCAAACCTGAGATATGGCATCGAAGATTAGGATAAATTAACAGCAAAAGCTTGAATATTATGAAGAATGGTGCTGTGGATGGGATATCATACATTGATAAAGCTGAAATTGATATGTCCAAGTGCATCATATGCTGTGAAGGAAAACAGTCAAAATTGCTATTTTCACATAAAGGTACGAGAAGTGAAAATGTGCTTGAACTTGTTCATGCAGATGTCTGTGGACCCATGGAACAACCTTCTATTGGACTATCAAAGTATTTTTTGCTTTTTGTAGATGACTACAGTAAAATGGCATTTGTGTTTTTTCTCAAAGCCGAGAACAAAATTTTCAAAGTTTCATTTTAAAGAGTTCAAAACTTTGGTTGAGATACAGACAGGCAGAAAACTAAAAGCCTTGAGGACAGATAATGGTGGAGAGTTTTGTTCGCTAGAATTTGATGAGTTTTTGAAGAAAAACGGCATAGTACATCAAACAACAAACCCTCACACACCAGAACAGAATGGCCTGTGTGAGTCTTAATAGAACTGTCGTGGAGAGAGCTCAGTGTCTTCTGCTTGAAGCAGGTCTAGATAAAAAGTTTTGGGCCGAAGCAATCAACACAGCAGTCTATTTACGAAATAGAACATTGGCAGCAGGACTTCAGAAAACACCTTATGAAATATGGAGTGGTAAAAAGCCAAATCATATACGGATATTTGGCAGTCCTGCAATGGTCCATGTCCCCAAAGCAAAGCGAACTAAATGGAACAAGAAGGCCAATGAAATGAGTTGATGATTGTTTACAGGAGCTAGGCTATAAAAAGTCTATGTATGAACATTGTTTGTTTATAAAATCAACAAAAAATTATAAAACATATGTGGCTTTATTTGTGGACGATTTTTTCATTTTTTCTAATTATGAAAAAGATGTAGAACATTCAAAAGTTGAGCTGAGTCAAAAATTTAAGTTAGAAGATTTAGGCCAGCTTAGACAGTGTCTTGGCATGGAAATTAAGATACATAAAAAAAGACGTGTGGCACTCGGAGACTGCCGCGGTAAAGCTATTGCATAGCATTTTTTATCAACTCATGCAATTATAAATCGACAATAATAATTTAATATTAAAACAACAATAAAATAAGATCCGACGAGAAACTCAGTGGGCTAACTTTCAATCAATCTGCTACATTGTGAGTATTCCATTTTGACCGCGCACTCACTAGAGGGCGCTACATGGGATAGACACGCCTTTGGATGCTAGTTCTAACTGTCATTCGCCCAGAATCAACGGTTTAGCTAGTTTACTTTTAATGCCACTCCAATCACTGAATGAGTAGTAGGAGTAGTAATAAAATTATTCGACTAAGCGATAGAAAATGGCACGCCCAACGCATTGTAATGTGATATAATTTTCTATTTTACAATTCCGTTTGTCGCCGATAGATGGCGCTTGTGTTGCCCACGAAATTATATCACATATTTTGATAGTACATAAATCGGTGTTTAGACTTCTTACTTTAAACACCACACAAGCGCAACGTGTGAATGTGTTGAACGCGAGCTACATAGTAGGCGTTGGGGGGGGAAGGTTTTTTTCGTTACGGAATTTCATGATTCCGCTCTCAAGCCGCGCTCAAGGCCCGCAATAAAATCTATGCAATAGCTTAATAAAAATTTTGTTAGTCAGAAAAACTTTATTGAAAGATGATTATGTAAATTTAATTTATTAAATTGCAAGAATGTTGAGACGCCTATGGAAACTAATCTAAAGCTTGAGAAAGGAGATAAGACACATTCTAATTCCCTTATCAACAGCTTATAGGCAGCCTAATATATCTCTCTGTTCTAACTAGACCCGATATCTCATACTGTACAAGTTACTTAAGTCAATTTAATAACTGTAATACTGAAACACATTGGAAACATGCAAAAAAGAGTGTTGAGATATTTGAGTGGCACTAAATATTATGGTTTATTGTATGTTAAAAATAATTTAGACATAGCTATGCAGCATATGCTGACGCTGATTGGGCATCAGATAATCAAGATCTTAAGTCATACACTGGATATTGTTTTATTTATTTAGGCTGTTTAGTTTCTCATGAAAGTAGGAAGCAACAAACTGTTGCCTTATCTAGCATAGAGGCCGAATATATGGCTGTCTGTGAAGCAAGTAAGGAAGCTATTTATTTAAAAAAACTGTTAACTGAATTAATAGATAGATGAAATATTCCTATTGAATTATATAATGATAGTCAAAGCGCTAAAAGGCTAACTGAAAACTGTGTGTATCATAGAAGAAGTAAACACATAGATGTCAAATTTCATTTTATTAGGGAAGCAGTAGGTAATAGGTTAATTGTTGTAAAATATTTAGAAACAAATGAAATGCCAGCTGATATATTGACAAAAAGCTTAAGTAAAAATAAAAAATATTATTTTATGTACAAGATGGGTGTTGTAATGTTACATGCTTAAAATCCATTTGTGTTTGACTTTTTTTTTGGGTATTATTATGTTAAGTGATGGTGTTGTTGTAGGGTAACATAATTATATATGTACTTAGCGCCATCTATCATAAGCTATAAACAATATGTGTGCCTACCTACTCTGCTAAAATATTAATTAAAGTCAGTCTGTAAAAACTACTGTACGTGTTTTAATATTAACATCAGGTAAGCTGTGAGCTCGTCCACCCACCTAACCTATAAAAAAGGCGACCAGCAGAAATTACACGGGTTTGATCATACCCTCATCGTGAAAGTTTCTCGTGAGTATTTATTAAGTGCATGTGTCGTTAAGACAATGTGTACTTGTGAGATCTTAACACTGTGATAGTTATTTCGCTCGATACATGCAGACAAGGCGTGTTCTCCTATACGCCACGACAAGTATAACCAGATTACGACCGCATGTTCCTGGCATCTTATGTTGTCAATAATTTTCTACATTTGTTTTAGATATAGAGCACCGACGAAGACCGATTGAACCAAGTAAAATTCTAAGCAAGAGGAATAGATAAGTTTGTTATTCGTTTAAACTACTCACTCTCCTCGTCCATTTTGAGTTTGGCAGCCAAAGTCTTCCTCGGAACGTTATAGAATTCAGCCGCTTCTAATCTAGACATTCTGTTGTTTCTGACTGCCTCCACGCCATTCCTCAGATCCTCCTCGGTGTACTGAAGATACCTCTTGTTGCGTTCGGCTCGGGGTAGTTTCTTGGGCCATTTCCGGGTTAAGCAAACTGTTATCGGATCTTTCTCTGTAAATATTATATCAAACATTGTTTCTTTGGTGCGAAAATCCAGTGTAATTGAATAACTTTGCATTTAAGCGGGAGCTCTGGGCCCTGGACTTCCATAAGTCGGGTGGGCCAGATTGCATCTCTGCTGTGGTCCTGAAAACGTGCGCTCCTGAGTTGACACTTGCGCTAACGCGTTTGTATCGCCTCTCGTATAGTACTAACAAGGTTCCGACTTCATGGAAGACCGCCCACGTCCACCCTAACCCCAACGGCCCCAACTACCCCAATCGGACCCATCAAGTTATAGGCCTATCGCGATAACTTCCTTCCTTTCCTAGGTAATAGAGCGAATAATAAATACGAAACTCTTGAAGTATCTTGAGGATCGCCAGCTGATGCAAGTGGATCGCTAGTTTTTTGAGTGGGCGGAGCGTCCAGGTCATTCTAGACTTCTAGACGGTTACTTCTCCGAAATCATGACCATTAAACGATGGCGTTCCACAAGGCTTGGAGCTTTCCCCCACGCTTCCTGTATATCAATGACATACTATCTATTGATGGCATGCATTGCTATGCGGATGAAGCCACGGGGGATGCGCGATATATCGGCCATCAGCATCTTTCTCGGAGCGTGGTGCAGGAGAAACGATCAAAACCTGTATCTGAAGCGTAGATCTCTCCGAGGCGAGTCGAGTGATTGGACCAATTGAACTTGGTTCAATTAGTCCAATCAATTAAAAAAAGTTCAATTCAAATGCGGTGAACTTGATTTAATTCATTGATTGCGCATCCCCAGGCTGTCATCCGCATAGCAATGCATGCCATCAATAGATGTCATGATCTCATGTCATGCTAAATGGATGATAAGCGTGGGGTAGAGCGCTGAACCTTGGAAAACAAGCGTTAATGGTTATGGCATCGGAACAGTAGCTGTCTACAACGACTGATGCTCCGCCCATCCAAAAAGCCAGCGATTCACTTGTAGAGTTTCTTTGGGGATTGAGTAAGACAGTAACTATTAGGTGCCAATAATACATGAATTTGGTTTTTAGAATAATGAGAATCTGAGATCCACCTAAAATTGTAGCACTTAGGTATGATGATAGGTGGCTATACAGCTTTACCGTATTCCCATAAACATATATGGACCTGTTATTTTAAAACAACAAAAAGCTACGTGGAAGATTATAATAACTAACCTAGTTGACTGTTGTCTGTAACATCTTCCTCTAAATACTCCACTTCTTCATATGTTTTCTTCTCGAGTCCAATTTCCTCATCCTTGTTAATTTCTTCAACGATTTCTTGGCTTTCCACTTCTAAGAATTCAATTTTTGGCACCAAAGTCTGTTTATCTGAATCTAATATTTGCCTAGATCTTTATATGGTTAAACACAGTTGACCCCCTGATCCGTTATACCTCGGTCGCCAGCGACCCGGTTAGTCATTTTCGCTATCTAGTACTCGAGTAGGAAGATATTGTTTATGGACAATAAACTCTAGATCGCGGCCGTCACATTAGGACAGACGTTCTGGAAGTGGCGCATCGACATCAACCCCACTAAAAACACAGCCATCTGTCAACCCTCTTATGGTGACCGCTGCTAATTACATATCCGACCCAAGCGACGGGGCAATACAAAGCCGCCGTAGCCCGAAACATGCCTATCGTAATCCCCTGATCCACTCTCCATGCTTAGGCTCTAAAACCTTAGCATGGAGAGCCTAAGCTCTTAAAAAACCGGTCACCGGTCACCGTCACCGTAGAAATCGTCTATTAGTACCAAGAGTTCGACGAGCAAAGACACAACCCTCTAAGATTCTTTCAGTTCAGTGCGTTTCGATTCCGACTCATTAGCAGATTCTGCGAAGCGTTGCTCTTGCTTGGGCTAGTCGTTAGCAATTTCTCTGGGGTCGAATCTACCCGTCTGAGAGTTTTTGGAATAGCCCCTTAGACGACCGGTGAATAGAGAGGAAAAAACACAGCCGAATGCAAATACCGCTACCCAATTTGTCATATTAGACCAATGAATCAATTTTAATATGGCTTTTCAAGCCGGAATGCATTACTGTTTATTTTCAAAAATAGGCAGGATCGTGGTATCAATTCAGACAAGCTTACATATATCATGCATCCACGACATCAATGACTTGTAGATTTGTTACCTCAATTTAAAAAAAAAAACAAAGAAACAAAATAATACTCACACTCATCCAATTCCTCAGTCAACATTCTATTTGAAATCCCATTGTGATTTGTAGTATCTATACGTGAGTTTTTTTTACTTCGCGACACATCCATAGTCTTCTCTGGGTCTCCCACAACATATTTTGTTAACCTATTGTCAATGTTCTTTGCTTGTTTGTTCGGAAGTTTTCTCTTTGTTGGACTGATGCTCATTCTTTTTCTGTCTACATAATAATACGAAATATTCGGGTTTTTTTTACAAATTAATATGTTTTTTTTTAATCTAATATATCACATAGGTCAACAGATGTGGTTGAGTTTTAAATATGAATGTGGAAGGCTTTACAGGAAAAGGAAGACTGAAGAAAAAATGAATGGATTGTGTGAAAGATGATATGTGTAAGGGGGGAGTGAGAGAAAAAATGGTATATGATAGAGTGGTATGGAAAGAGAAAATATGTTGTCGAACCCAGGTGACTGATGAATGATGATGAGGGCAGGAGAATGATGAATGATGATGGGTCAACAGAAAACAAACACTGTTTCATATAACAAACATTTTTCTAGCTATGTTCACAATAAGGTTAAGGATAGTACATAGAAATAAGTCTAAAATGCTTCAAATAAGAAATTTTTTTATGTAATTTTATGTTTTTCTTCTACATGTTGTTTCAGGGATGCTTTTCTGTAATGTCCAACAGTAATCTGCTAACATAATAATATGTGGACTCCCCTTAATTGATATCATACTCCACGGGCCATATCATATTATTTAGATCCCTTTGAGATAGTTGATGTGTAGTTGAGGAAGGAAAGGGGTCCTATGTGACGTTTCCAATAATTGCTTCTGGCATTAGACAGAGCAGAGCTTTGAACTGGTTCTCGTAAAAATAACTCTTTACTATTTATAGAAATCTTCTCACCGGTCCCATAAGAAGACCTATGTATTTAACACAACAAAAGTATGGAGCGCTGGCTTATTGCCCGATGGCAAAATCAAAATACGGTTGATATAACTTTGTTACTAAAATTAAATTTTAAGGGTTTGCCACATAATTTGACAAAAATTTTCATTCTAAACATAAAATATAAATCTCTATTAATCCATCAAATCATATAAGTAGTTACATAAACCACTTCCTTTGTAGTAAATACTTTCTCTCCACACAAGAAAAAGATAGCTTTTAGCAATGAAACATTTAACATTTAATATTATAAGAATTTTATTTATGTAGTACCTTAAGTCCTACTTTTTACTTGTATTTTATTTTTAAAAAAAATCGGTTGTCTGTAAAGTCGGTTTACTAGTTGAACGTGACAACGTCATAAGAAAATACTGATGGAATGGTTTCATTTTTCAAAAGAAAATTTTAATTTTATTTGTTTGATAGATATTTTGTATAGATATAGAGAAGGAGGTAAATGGAAATCACTATTGAATTGATCAAGTTACATTTACAAGTTACATTATTTGTACGCATAAATACAATTATGTCATAATTTTTTTTTACAATGTACACAGTTTTTTTACAAGTATGAATGTGCTTTGAATTGTATTATTGTATAGCTGCTGTCCACGCGGATGCATCGCTCACTCAAGTAGGAGAGAGACAGATCTCGAACGCTGCCGAACGCGGAGGCCGATTGTGCCTCTTTGTCGCTCGTTGCGCGTTCTCACTTGCACTTCAAGCTTTAAATGGAACGCTTCAAGGCCTTCCATTTAAGGCTTCATCATGAAAACAATAGATACTAGTGTTTGTGTTACGACATTTCACTTACCTACATTCTCTTTTGGTTTGACATCAACAGGAGCATCATCTAAAAATTCCACTTCTTCATACACAGTATCCCTCGTGAGTTCTGGCTCCGATGAGTCTTTCTCTGCTTCATTTACATACTCAATTTTTATTGTTGATTCATGGCCTGAAGAGAATTAATGAAAATTTAGTTTTAAGGCAAAATATATTGACACAATAATCTATACTAAAATATAAATCTACAGTGGTTTTTACGGATTTTAACTTATAACTACTGAACCATGCCTCCGATTGACTTGAAACTTGGTATCCACGTAGAAAATACATGTACTTAATGGATAGGCTAATATTTATATGAGTGTTGGACTCCCTATTAATAATGACACTAAATAATAATGTTCATTTTAAATGCCCTGTGAAGCGGGCGAGTACGGCTAGATAAATGATAACTTTGATTTGATATCAATTGTCAAAGTTATCATTTAACATAGCTTTTGTTGTTTTTCGGGCCAGGGTCGAGCTTCCTACGAGGTCCCCGCCCGCCTAGGGGACGCGCAGTGTATGTGGGACTCGGCGATCTGCAGATGTTGGGAGCAGACCGCGGGCCCCAGGATATTTTTAGGACCCTACCGCACTAAGCGACTCTCCTGCACTCTTACACCCGACGTCCGATCTCCGCCCAGGATCAGAATAAGGGGTTCCCACGGTCATCACTACAATACGACTTGCGGCGCCACCCTGAGGAAGCCCGACCGACGGGTCGCCGAGGCGATAGTCAACGACCAACAACGCCGATCTCCGCGGTACGGCGACCCTACCAGGCCGCCCGGGCGATGCCGCTGGTATTCCAGGATACCCAGCTGGGTCATCATTTAACATAGCTATGTCAACTTTCATGCAGTTTCGAAGTCGTCGTGGCCTAAAGGATAAGTGTGCTTAGTGCGAGTTTCTGAACGTTCTCGATAGCGTAAAAGTTAAGCCATTTTTGTATGCAGTTGGAACAGCGCCCCTAGCGGCAAACGTACGCAAACGATCCCATTCCATACAAATATGAGCTAACTTTTACGCTATCGAGTACGTTAAAAAACTCGCACTAAGCACAAAGATGTCCGGTGCATTCGTATCGAGCGATGCACCAGTGTTCGAATCCCGCAGGCGGGTACCAATTTTTCTGATGAAATACGTACTTAACAAGTGTTCACGATTGAGTTCCACGGTGAAGGAATAACATCGTGTAATAAAAATCAAACCCGCAAAATATTTCTGCCGTGAAGCAGTAATGCGTTTCGGTTTGAAGGATGGGGCAGCCGTTGTAACTATACTGAGGCCTTAGAACTTATATCTCAAGGTGGGTGGCGCATTTACGTTGTAGATGTCTATGGGCTCCAGTAACCACTTAACACCAGGAGGGCTGTGAGCTCGTCTACCCATTTAAGCAATAAATAAAAAGTTTCTTTTAGAATAGCTTAATTCCTGATTTTATCTTTAAGAGAAACTCCAAACATAACTCTTCCTATGACTTGGCAGTCGGCGGTAGGGATGTCCGAAATGCAATAAAGTATCGATAAATATCGTAACGATATTTTTTGAAAATATCAATGTCGATATTGATATTTTTATTAGAAAATATCGATATATCGGTATGATTTGACAGAGAATATTCGTGCTAATCAATAGAAATCATTTTTATTCATGAAATTTATGAAATTTTATAAAATTTCAATAGTATAATTTCGTAAAATTTCAGGAAGTTTCATGAAATTTCATGAAGTTTCACAAAATTTCATGAAATTTCATAAAAAAAACATATAAATGTTTGTTGGTCTGAAAAAAATATCGATTTTCTACCTTTTCGATACTTGGAATTTTATATCGATATATCGATGTATCGAAGTATAAAATATCGCTCAAAATTTTCGATACATTGAAAAAATAATATCGGTATTTCGATGTATCGATATTTTTTCAACAAGCCTAGTCGGCGGGCAGTAGGCAGAATATCTAAGTCATGATCATCGATGTTCTACCTACTGCCAACATTGGAGCAGATAGATACTTGACTGAACCAGTAATCATACTGTGGAATGGATTTACAAATAGTGTCTAACAGGAAATATGAAAACAATGCTTGGTGTTACAAATTGGGAAAGATCTATGTCCAGTAAGGTATGACTGGTTTGATAAGTCTTTACGGGTGGTAGGTAGGTCTTTTGAGTCTGCACGGGTAGACCACGGGCACCACCCTGCCTATTTCCGCCGTGAAGCAGTAAAGCATTTCGGTTTAAAGGGCGGGGCGGCCATTGTACTGTTAAAACTAAGACCTTAGAACTCAAGGTGCGTGATCGCATTTACGTTGTAGATGTCTATGGGCGCCGGTATCCACTTAACACCAGGTGGGCCGTAAGCTCGTCCTCCCATCTAAGCAATAAAAAAAGAATTCTTCTAAAGCTGCCTGGACTACAGCGCTATCAAAGGAAATATTGCGATAATAGCGATTAATGTTTGGTCACTTAACAACAGTGCAAGTACCACAGAATGCTCTACCACTGGTAGTTATTTGAGATTAGCACAAACACTTACCATTACTTATCTCGTCCATCAGTTGTTTCTGGGATCTTATAACTAAATTCCTAAAACTGCACGACTCCCTTAGCCTCTTTATGCATGGATCACAGATTTGATTGTAATCTTCAGAGTCTAACTGGATCCACTGTGGAGTATGTAAATGGAAAATGTTGAAAATTTATAGATATGTTTTCACTCACACAATTGTACTAATTTTAATTTATAAATAATAAAAAGTTCGTATTTTGTTTTATTATTTTAATAGGGCTTAAAGTATGAAATTGCTGTTTTATTGTAATAGGTACTTCGAATTGATATAGAACCTTCATGATTTGAGATTTTTGAGTGACTTTTTTCAATTGGTACCTTTTAAAAAACGTGCTACATTCGATTATCGGCTTTCAGTTGTTTTTTTATTCAACTTAGACAAGTAAGACGGAAACTTCGAAAATTCGAGTGATTTTTGAACACGAGTTCCGACGCGGAACTAACGCTGCAGAAACAGCTCGCAATATCAATGTTGCGTTTGGAGAGGGGACTGCTAATTAACGCACCGTGCGGTTTTTGTTTTGAACGCTTTCGTGATGGAAATTTTGATTTGAAGAACGAACCGCGTGGAAGACCGCCCACACAATGTGAATAACAATGAATCGAAAGAGATAGTGGAAGCCGATCCGAGCCAAACTACCCAGGAATTAGCAACATGGTTAAACGTTTTTTTTTCCTTCCTATGTTGACAGCCTTGATATGCTATTTCAGCTTCACCCTAACATGTAGGTGAGCTCGCGTGGCTCAAACCAGAAATGTTGCTAATACTGGCCCTAGCAAGAGCAGTGCTTCGCAGAATCTACCGCCGGAAACTACCCAGGAATTAGCAGCGTGGTTTAACGTTACATTACTGTTTTTGCAATGAGGACGCGGCGCTGCTCCGCGAAAGGGGAGGCAGTATGCGAGCGTGTACTCCGCCGTGTCCTCGTTGCAGCCACTGCAGTGGTGACACTTCAGCGTCGGCTCCCTTCGGGCGACGAGGTGCAGGTTGCGACCGAAACAGCCATGTCCCGTGAGCACCTGCGTCGCTCGGAAGGTGAGACGTCCGCGGTGTTTTAATACTACACGCTCTAAATATGTAATCATTTTTTATGAAAAGAAATTTTTTTTAAGGGATTTTATGACCAGGTAACTGAGACCTTTAAGTCATGTCTTATTTTAATTTTTACCATATTTTTATGAAAAATGATATTATGGAGTGAAATGAAATGAAGATGATTAATTTGAGACATTAATCAACTGGGATGAAACAAATGAAATGAAATGAGATGATATGGCATGAAATATAATCTCAGTAAAATGGTGTTCATTTACTAAGATTTTTTCAGTGGACTTTTTGGAGGATCCCGAGAAGTTACGTCCAGCGGCTTTGTTTCATTTTCCCACATTTGTGCACTTTCACAGATATTAAATATTTAATAAACCACCGTTATTACACATTTAAACCTGAAGAAACATTAAATAGACAAAATAAAACAAATCACACAACTTCACTCCTCGCGTTCCCGCCAAAGTATTTATGAAAAGAAGAAAGATTATTCTCCTAATACCCTCATTCTTACATTACAGTTCACAACTAAGTTCTCGTTGTTTTTTTTAATGAGCATCCATAAATTAGGCCATTTTTTGGGATCGGTATATAAGCAGAACTGCCAATCTACAAGACAATATGACCTTGAACACAGCATTATTTGGCCAGCACCATATCTGGGGAATGAGGCTAGTTGGGTGGGATATCTATGTAGTTATGTTCGTAACTCTTTCGTCGTGCAGTTGGTTCTGTTATGGAATGCGCTTTCTCTCGAAAACAGGACTATTATTGACTGGTCAAGTTAAGGGTTCGGCGAACGCTGTTGGAAAAGTTAGATGAATCCTCATGAATTTATTAAGTTGTAGTTGTTTGTTTAGTCAATCTATATAATAATATATATATAATATAATTATTATTATAAAGAGGAAAGATTTGTTTGTTTGTTTTGAATAGGCTTTGAAAGTACTGAACCGATTTGAAAAATTATTTCACTGTTTAGGAGCTACAGTATTTCCGAGTGACATAAGGCTATAAAATTTTTTGAAAAAAGTTAGGGATCCTTACTAAAACTCCAATAATGTAACGCAAGGTGTAAAAAATTACCTAAAGTATTCTTTACATCGCGTGCGCTGCGAAAACTATTGATGATAGAATAAAATAATATACTATAACTATGTAGAACACATTATTATTTACAAAAAATGTGGCGACAGCATATGTCCGACTATTATAGCTATGCCACAATAAGTGTTAATTTATTAAAAAAATAATAAACAACGTCAAATATCGTTCACAGGGTAGCTTTTTCATAATTGTGGGTTTACTGGTGCCCGGAGGCCTTTCCAGTTTCACAAGGACAGGTGGGCGAGCAAGGGCTCAGACAAAGCAAGGGCTCAGCCAGTACAAGGAAGCTCTGACTCAATAAACTCAATGGCTTTTGTTTTGTATATATGACCTTTTTACGAAAACTAGAAAAATAATAATATAAAAATAGATAAAAACAAATATTATTTAAACGAATATAAAAGTTTATTAAAAAAATAATATTCAAACTATCTTTATAATTTTCTATTTTTAGAGACCTGACGCAAATATAAGGGATAATGTGTGTGTATTATAATTTTTTATTTTGAAAATTTTGATAAAGACCCGAGCGAAGCCGGAGCGGCCGCTATTTATCAATAAAAAAAAACAAAATAAAAAATGTATACCCGAATAATTATTTTCTTTATACCTCGAATAGAACTTAAAATTAATATTTTTATAATAAGGAGCTTCGTTCCTATCCGGTGTCCCACGACACCACGCATTTTTTAATATGCTACATATATATTATATTATGTATAATAGTCTTTTAAAAAAAGTTACCGTATTAGATCTGTGGAATTTTTACTGGCATTACTACGTAGTATAAAACAAAGTCGCTTTCTCTGTCCCTATGTACGCTTAGATCTTTAAAACTACGCAACGGATTTTGATGCGGTTTTTTAAATAGATAGAGTGATTGAAGAGGAAGGTTTATATGTATAATAACATCCATTAAATAGTGGAGAAATCAATAATAAATTACAGTTTCCGAAGCGAAACGAGGGCGAGTCGCTAGTTTATTATATATCTGTCACATGTTTAATGTAAAATTATTGAAACAAGTTTATTCATTATGTAACCATTCATATACCAAAATGAACTTAACAAAACATAGATTCTTATGACACTTAAGTTTATTCAAAATGACCTCCGTGATTTTGAATACAGACCTTCAATCTGCGCGGCCAGTCGTCTATCGCAGCACGAACGAGGTCCATGTCAATATCGGCGGCTGCCTTAATCAAGGATGTCCTGAATGACTCCAAATTGGGATGAGGCTTTGAGCACGCCTTTTCCTCCAAGTGTTGCCATATTTTGTAATCTAACGGATTCAAATCTGGACTGGAGGAGGGCCAGTCTTCGTGCCGGATGAAGTCGATTTCACGCGCCGCCAGCCAGTCTTGTGTGCTCTTCGCTCTATGAGCTGGCGCCGAATCTTGTTGGAATACAGTGCCTGTTATTGAACATGGTATGAGAAACAGGTTCCACAAGGTTCGTCAGGACTGTATTTTGATACACAACTGCATTCGTTTTTACACCTTTCTCACAAAAATGTACCTCTGTTAAGCCCCTATAAGAAACTCCCAACCATACCATGAGCGAGGATGGAAAATGACCTCGTTGGACACGCGGAATACGGTTGCTCGCTTCTTCACTACTGTGTGCGTACACCTTATCATTTTGTTTGTTGTAGCTCTCTTCTACGGTAAAAATTTTTTCATCCGAAAAAAGAATTTCCCGATATTTTTTTCCCGCGTACCGCTTCAACAAAGCGCGGCATCTCTTCAGTCTCAGGTCCATTAGACGAGCATTCAAACGATGTCCTGTTTTTCTTCGATATGCCCGAAGCCCTAAGTCTTCATTTAACACCCTTTTCACCGTGGTTCTGCTTAACCCCATCTGAAGGGCCAACAGTTTCTGCTTACGTTTGGGATTTCTTTGAATTCGCGCCTTCACAGCTTTTATCACTGCTGGAGTCCTAACAGACCGAGGGCGACCACTTCTTGACCTGTCATCTACACTAGAGTCTTCATTGTATCGTTTGATGGTACGATAAACGAATCTTTTGGTTATATTCAAATTTTTCAGTATGTTAAAAATTTGAATTGGCGCGTAACCGCAACGATGCAACGCAATAACTGCAACACGGTCTTCTTTAAGCGTCCACTCCATATTTAAAAATGAGTAAAATTCTAAAAGTATACATTTTTATTTTCATGAACAATTCGAAATTCGAATTCAATAAACTTTTTTGTGGCCAGCATTCTAAAAGAAAAGTTTTTACTGTGTGACAATACTTATGACCTGACTAGTTATATATATATATATATTCCTTTGAATACTGTATAAACTATTATATGTGTATATGTATAAAATACTTTATATACTTTTATGCTTCTTTTTATTATTGTATTACATTTTTGTGCATGTATTTGTAATTTAATATAAAATACTTTGCACCTATCACTATTGTCTCTGCACTTCCTTGGTTGACTCATAGAGAATGCTTTAGGCATTAAGTCCTCCAATGTAAATTTTACATGAACTATAAATAAATAAATAAAAATGTCAAATCTTAGCATTTTAAAGTCATATTGTAGCTGCCCTAATTAATCACATTAACTGAATTTGACACATTTCTCCAATGTTACCTTTGAATCCAACAGCTTCTTCTTTGCCTCCACCGAATACCACAATGTGGGGTCGGCACGGCAATTTTTTCTATTCAATTCTCCTTTATCAGCTACCATTCACACACTGCATCCATCTCTTCTTCAGTAGACCTCTTCCCCCTCTACCTTGCACTGCCATTTCCATACATAACCTAATCATGTGATCACCATCTCTCTCCTGCATCATCTCTTTACACATCACATGTCCATACCACACTAACCGATCGCTCTTCTGATTCCAACAACATAATAAAAAAATGCCAACCTGGTCCCATCAATACACAGTATAACAATCAAAAGTATATTGATTATCGAACAATAAATAATGTACCAAAGCAGTTTGCTTGTCTTAGCTTGTCTTAGCTTAGTTTCAGCTTGATTAGCAATGTCTTGGATTTGTCAAAAAGACAAGCAACTTTACTGCATCCATTGACAAACAGCAAGAGCTTAACTGCACAGCTAATAATATTCTAAGACTAATCACAGAGACCATTATTTTGTCCCAACTAAGATTCTCTATACTATGTTTACTTCAGATTTATATACAAATATATGTAGGTACTAGCTTAAATATATAATTAATTGAAATAAATAGCTGATATATACACACACATATGAATAAATATAGCAAATAAAAAATATAGGAGTAAGAACATACTTTATCCCTTAAGTACCAAGAACGAAGAAATATAAACCGTTTATAAGAAAGCCCGCTCGTTCGAATTTAGGTGCTCACTCTCCCTTAAACAAAATCCTTTCGGACTACAGTAATATCCACGGTAGCGCGGTCTCCGTCCATGTTCATTTGGACTTGTCTGATTGTGCTAAACTAATTTTAAGTGAAATTGATGTTTTTTATAATTGTCTCACAACTTACAGGAAAAATCTGTCGTGTATCATTTTCCAATTAAATATAATATAATCTTAAGCAATCAATGAAATGTAATCAAATCTAGTTATATATTTTTTTTATTTTTGTTGTTTATGCACTGTCATGTTACAAGTAATTGTATACCAAAAAACAATAAAACCGTTGCATTAATATAACGTTTTTACAGTACCGATATTGGACATCATTACATTAATATAATAAACTTAAAAGCAATATTTTCCACTGTACCAATACACGGACCAAGTTATTTATCAGAATCTGATAGGGGATTTAACTATAAGATAACAAAGCAGTTGAAGATAGTTAATTGGACTGTGATCTCGTTGTTTTTCAAGATTTCGTAATAGAAAGGGCAGTCTTTTTGAAATGCCGTCCCTAAGTTTAAAAAACATGACATTCAGCAAGACATCTAGTTACAATGATACCAATACGTATAATGTTGAGTAGCTATTTCCAATATCTGAAATCTCGGTATTTGTTATTACTGACCGAAAAAGCGTAGCATTTCGTTAACATTTCGCCGTACACCTCTGTATGTCCCTGCCATTTATGTTCGGACCATAAATATTTTAAATAACCATATTCCAAACAGCATCTGCATCTCCCGAAGTACATTTTCACTTCAGTTTCCATTTTTTTATTTTCGTTAAATTAAAATTCGCTTTGAGTCAGTAGTTATTGATCAACCAAGAGATTAAGCAAAAAAATTAAGAAAATGTTAAAACACGGTTAAAACAATTCCCAAAACATACGCTGACAGCACGCCATGTTGACAATTGACATTGTTGACTAATGTTGAGTAGTATTATTAGAGTTTTTTTTTTCGAAGAGGAAGGCAATAGAACTAACAGCCAATTCTTAAGTTTTATATTTTCATATATAATTGTATATTTCAAGGCAAAAAAGTCAATTCTTAAGTATTCTTCATTTATCTTTTTTAAATACGTGTAAATGTATATTCAGATTTTTTTCCATTATGTTTCGGTTGAGAATTGTCTTAATCGTGTTTCTTGAAAAATCCGAGTAAAAAGTCTAAATTAATATTCTCCATTATAAGTCTCCGAACGTAGAGTTAATATATCCATATACTGGTCTAAAATTTTCAGGGCACTTAAGCAAATCTTGAAGAGATGGCGCGGGACGCTATCCTTATAAACCTGTTGCAGCTTATCGATAAAATAAATAGAATACGATGAATATTAAAAATCGGACATGTGAAAAAAATATGATGTAAAGTTTGTTCTTCTTTTAGGGAGCAATCATTGCAATTTGATGATGAAGTTATTTTCATTCGGTAAAGATGAGCGTTGCAATGACAAAATCTTAGTTTACAAATCTGTGTGTAGAATTTCTTTATATAGAAAGATTTGCTCCTAGCGAACCAGGGCTTGCTGCTACCAATGTCATTATTTATTTCAGCATACCATTTACCTTTGTTTGGATTTATAAGCTGCCTGTTTTCAAGCCAATTTTTATTAATTTGTTGACGAATATCAGGAATTAGGTCTTGCCATGGAATTGAAATATTCTTAATCTGAGCACCCAAGCTATTTATTGATTTTGCAAAATTAACCAAATTACTTTCTCAACCTAATTTATCTATACCGTCCCACGCTGCTAATTTAATTCATACTTACACTGATATTAGTAATGGCCAACATGGACAGTTCCCTTCGTTTTTTATTATTCATAAGCTGTAAATAATGAAAACGGCGAATTATAAAAATCTTATTAATATGACGCTGGCTGATGCACAAACCGTACCGGAACCAAAAGAAAAATCACTTTAACGTAAACTTTTTGGCGGGAATTTGAATTGAATGAGTAGTATTTTGTTAATTTTGCGTTTATTCGGATTTAAACAAGTAATAACGGTAGCTAACTGTTGAACGTCTGTGAGAGTGCACAAATGTGGGAAAATGAAGCAAAACAAAATACCTTCGGACGTGACTTCACGGGCTTTTCCAAAAAGTCCACTGAAGTCTCTGGTAATTAACCAACATTTTATTGCTACTTTATTTCATATTTTTTTCATCTCGCTTAATTTAATTACAGTCCAATTTATTACAATTGCCTATTAATCTATATCATCGCATTTCACTCCATATAGTTTTTCATTAAGTAACCTTGTGTCACATTTGTTTACCTATGTACATTGATTGCATGTTTTTATCAACTTGACTTTACTAAGAACTCTTTTCTCTGTATTTGTATTCTGTTACAAGCTCCAAACATTTATATATATTTAAATGTTTCATTAAATGGTTATCAACAAAAATACACTAATAACATCATCTGCCATTTTTTGTTTGTTTTGCGTAGCCGGTTTGTCCTTTCACATCCTTGAAAATAAAAGCAAATGGTAATCTCCCAGGACCTTTCATTTTCATAATCAGTGCCCAATTCTTCACTGCTATCTTCACTTTCAGATCATTCAATTTGCTTGTGAACCGTTCCCTCTCTAGATGCTATTCCAAAGTCAGTTCCATCTTTTTTTATTGCTCATGTAGGCAGACGTGCAAAGGGACCACCTGATAGTGAATGGTTACCATCGCCCATGGACTTCAGCAATGCCAAGGGGAGAGTTAACCCGCAGACTACCGTTCAGATTATATATCTGAACATTATTCACTTATGTTAGTAAACTTTTTCAATATTTCTTTTCTATTCGACATTTTTATGAAATGAAAATGTGAGTTGATAACAACATACGTATGTATTATATAAATAAATATATTTTTTTATTTCAATTCACGTTGGAGCTTTTATATAAGAAATACTTATTAATTAATATAATAATATTTGCAAATTTTAGTAAAAAAGTAAGTAATTATTTTAAAAATCCGAAGCAGTCTGCTCTCGGGCAATATAGGTATAGCACATATGTATATCGAAAATAAAGAGGGAGGGGGTAAATACAACTATTAATAAATGCCAAAAAAGTCATAACCATTTAATAAATTGTATCATCATCAAATTTTTTTTTATCTGAAATTAAATACTATCAAAATGACTGTTTTGGGTAATCTAGTGTTAATGACTACGTTTTTCACAGTACTACACAAGTACATATGATGCGATACAGATAGAAAGTACAAATAAATTTATAATATTCATTCTGTATTACTATTAAATTGGTTTGTTGACACAATGACATGTTCGATACAATATATTTGTTTTTAAAAAACTGATATTTACCTCAGTGTTCGAATTCCGTTTTAAAATGAATATCAAGGCGAGAATGACGTCATTGGCCGTCGAGAGTAATTTCATGGGGGCTACTAGTACTAAAGTTTTATTTTTACAAAATTAACAAATTTACATTTCAATAGCTTATGGTTTATTTTCTAACTTTATTAGAGTTTTATCAAACATAATTTACAATTACGGTTTAACCTCGACTTTATTAATGTCATATAATATCGTACTTAGCGTAAGCATGTAACTCTTCAATATTTAACCATTGCCCTAATGTATTCTGCATCAAATATCAAATGCTGCACACATTATCTACCTACTTATTGTAATTTTTTTGCCCCTACCTATTCACTTGTAGCCTACTATTCCGGTTACGCCTGGACGGGACTCATTGTAGCGTCGTAAAATAAAATAGGTTACTCTTCCTAATAATTATTACAGTGTGTATCATTGTACTATGCAATAAGCCGTTTTACATATCTATCGATAATTTCTCGAATAATTAACCCAGTCCAGATAAATTAAACGAAATTATAAAAAGGCGAAATTAAACCGTCAATGTAGTTTTGATTACGTATACGATTCGCTAAAATTGTACTGCTACTAAGAGTTGCTTAAGTCGAATTTATATAACTTTGTTATTATTCAAATGAATTTTGAAGTGCGTCACCAGCGCCGCTTTCGAGGAGTATCTCCTTTCGCACATCGGACACACGTGGTTCTTGGCGCCGTTATGCCTGGACTCGACGTGCCGCCTCAAATCTCTATTCTGAGAAAACTTTTTATCGCAAGCTGTGCACTCGTATTTCCTGTCGCCATGGACCTTCCTCAAGTGCTCGATGTAGTACTGCCGCCAATTGAATATCTTGCCGCACATGTCGCAGCCGATCTCCTTAATTTTCTCCCTGTGGTTCGCTTCGATGTGCTCCTTCCTCTCCCTTTCGCTCGGCAGCTTTTCCGGGCAGTGGTAACACTTGTAGTACAACCTGGCTTTGTGAACGACCGCTTCTTGCTTCTTGGAGTGATTCTTGGCGTGATTCTTTAATCTGGCAGCGGATATGAAGGTCTGGCCGCAATCGTCACAGACGTAGTTGTCGTAGTGGCTGTTCATGTGGAAGTCCAGCTGAATGTAGTTCGTGAAGTGTTGCTTGCAGAGCACGCAGTCAGGCTCCTCGTCCAAGATATACGGAATGACTCTTTTGTACGCGTACGTGAAGACGATACCGTGTGTATTTTTTAAATGTCTAAATAGACCATTCCAGTCATCCATCGGGATGCAACACACCACACAAATGAGATTGTTCACGTCCAACTTTAAGATTTCGTTCATCGCGTGAGGTCTCATCATGAGGTCGACCTTCTTCGTTCGCTCGTCGATGTGGTTCGTGCGCGTGTGGTTGCGGAGGTCGTCCGCCGCGTGGAAATACACTTCGGTGCAGTAGGCGCAGCTGTAGGTCGATATTTTACTTTTGTAGGGCGTCGCATTCGTGAATGAGAGTATTGTTTTTACTTCCTTTATGAATACATACATTTCTTCTCGTGCTGGGTCTACGCCTGGAAATAAAAGTTTGTATGGCGTCACTAACCAAGTAAGCTCTACGCTGTAACTGTTGCTTTTTATTTTCCCTACCTATTCGCTGGGGGTCTAGGGGGCTATCATTCCCGATCCTGCGGACCGATTGGTAAAGAGTAGAAGTCGCCCTAAACACATCATTTCGGATCCTCCCGATCTACCATGGGGGCTTTTAGGTACCTCAAGCACCGGTCATCGTTCTTGTCGAACCAGTCGCTTGCGACGAAGGGCTCGGCGAGTAAATTAACCCATAGACACAGCCTACTGAGTTCCTCGCCGGATCTTCTCAGTGGGTCGCGTTTCCGATCCGGTGGTAGATTCTGCAAAGCACTGCTATTGCTAGGGTTAGTGTTAGTAACGTCGTCAGATTTGAGCCCCGTGAGCTCACCTATTTATTAGGGTTACGCTGATATAGCCTCTCAAGGCAATCAGCTTAGGTATAAAAAAAAGAAGACTATTCCAGGTACGCCCGTACGGGTAGATGAGCTTACGAGCTCAACCTGAGTGAATCATCAACTCGCCTCCTATATGAAACTAGGCCTTTTTTATGTTTCCCTGCGAACATTAATTCCACAATGCGTTACTAATTTTATTTTAGGTAGATAAATGAATGTTTCGTTACTATTTTTATGATACTCGAACTCAAGATAACGTAAATTGTGAAATTAGGCATTTTTTTTATAGTAACCGTGTATCTGATTCGTTTTATTCGATACAAAAACAAATATATTTCAACATCGATGAAGTCGGAAGCGTGAGACTGGCTGCAGTGGGTAGTTTCACATATTTGATTCTATAAAGATTAATAATTTGCCTACATTTCTAGATTAATTTGGTATTTTTGCACCAAGACACCAAGGCGCTTTCGTGCCGTCGTGGCCAAATGGATAAGACGCCCAATCTACTCGTGTCAAGCATGCGACTATGCCAGATTTGAAATCCCGTAAACAGGTACGAAATTTTGTATACATTTTTTTAAGCAACTTCGTTTGTGTCAACATAAACTCGTTTAATATTGGGTGGTGTGGCGTATAATTATTGTGTCAACCCGCACGGGTGGGTACTACAATCCTGCCTATTTCTACGAAGCAGTCATGCATTTCAGTCTGAAGGGTGAGATGAACAACGGTTATAGAAAGGCAAAGAGGGACCCCTTAGGCAGGTAAGGACTCCCTTGTTTAAGACGAACGATCTGAATATTAAGACAACACTTTAATTAAAACAATGATCACTTTTATTTGTTTAATAAATTAAATCAAAAATTTCATAAAACTTAATTTATTATTTACAAGTTTATAAATATTTCACAACTACTTTGTACACACGGATTGCGTGCGTTAAGACAATCTCATTTACTTTGCTCTTGTATTTGTATAATAGTAAATCTCCAACAACTCTGATTTTTCTACTAAATTATCCCTATACCCTTCATTCCAGTCTTGAGTACTGGTGGAAGGGCATACCAAAGAGACTAATATTATTATTGTGGTTCTCCAATCGTTCTTGTTCCAAAGCTACGCTGACATTTTGATACAAAAATAGACTGCCGCTGTCAACTCATTTGTCTCTCATCTATACTAACATTATAAACGCCAAAGCTTCTTTATACGTTACCAGAATGAGGTACAGACGACTCAAGGAATTTTGGTGAAATCTCGCATAAAAACAGTTTAAAGCTTGAATTAACATCTAAGATACATTTGATCGCGATAAACTACACGACTCTGTATAATCGCCATAATAAATACGACAGTATTCGCAAATCGTCTGGTAGTCTAGTCCAGAGCACAAGCAAGTCTGATGCGACGCGTGCCATTCCATTTCAATCGCAAATTTAACGCGGCTAAAATCGCGTGGCATATCTTTCTACGTATGTATCACAGTCCACAGACGTCCGCTGGACTTAGGATTTCTTCAAGACCTCTTGCCGCAACGACCCGTCCCGCATCCAACAGATGCCTGTGACCTTATAAAGGTCATCAGTACGTTCAGTATGTAAATACTGCCATTCCTTGACCTTGTGACCTTGCCGACGCAACACGTTTCCATTACATTGTTCCGTTTGAATTCTTCGTCGAACATTTGCTGTCGACGACTTCTTAGTAATAACGACCTCACTGGATACTCTCGCCGTGTTTCTTCCAGCAGTGAGCCCTTAGTTTGTTTTTGGCGGCGAACTTGACATCGCAACGGTCGCACTTGTAGCGCTTTATACCGTAATGCGCTCTCATGTGCTGGTTGAGAGAGCATTTAGTACCGAAACGTTTATCGCACAACTCGCACTGAAACTCCCTAGTCTTTGTATGTGTGACCATGTGCGAGTTCAGCTCCATCTTGGAGTAGAAACTCATCTCGCACAGGGTACACTGGTGCGGTCGGAGCATCAGATGGTAACGCTTCTTGTGCTCGTCGAGAGACCTGGCGACGGTGTACGTCCGATCGCAAGCATCGCACTTGAACACTTGCTGCTTGGCTCCGTGGGTTTTGACCATATGATTCTGGACCTGCTGGGCGGAAACGAACTTCTCTTCGCAGAGATGACATCGCCTCGTCTTCCTGCCGTGACGGTGGACAAGCCTAACGTGAGCACTTCGACGAGGCCGCGTGTCAAATACTTTCGGGCAATCTGGACACTTGAATTCGCCGACGTTTTTCTGGTGCCGATATGAATGTAGCTGCATAGCTTGCTTGTTCACAAATCCTCGTCCGCACACGGAGCATTCGTAGTTCCTGTAGTGATCGTTCATATGTTCCGCTAGGAGCTTGAAATATTTGAATCGCTTCTTACAGATCGCACATTCTAATACCTCTCCTTCGAATTTGAACGGAACCATGTGAGACTTGACGTCAGCGTGGAAGGTTTTCTTGTGGTCCTTCCTCAGATGTTCCAAGAACGCTTCAAGGGTTTCGATCTTGGCCGCGCAAATTAAGCACCGGAGTCCCGTTACATCTAGTTTAAGTATGAGATCGGACACGTATTTAACCCTGATCGCATTTTGGCCGGCATCTTCGTGTATATTGAGATTGTGCTGTTTCAGCAGCGCCGGAGTCTGGAAACGTTCCGTGCAGAAGCAGCAAGAATACCCGGCGCCGCGGTGGTCTCTGATCAGAGTCGCATTCGAGTGTTGCATGACCGTTCTTATGTTGTCCTTGTGCTTTGTCATCTCTAGAGCGGATGTATTCTCGGGCGCGCTACGTGTTTTACATCGAACGATCGCTTTGTACCGCGCCCGTACGTCCGTCTCACCTTTACCGATCTTAGTACCGGCGTCGACGGTTGCCACTTCCCGGACATCTACAAAGAGATATTTTTGATTTTATTCTCGACTGTTTTCATCGGCGACGTTCTAATGAACTTGCTTTGGCAATTGGAACGATTCCATTTTTTATTTGTTTATATCTTCACTGGAAATAATCGAACGCACTGCGCGATCGTTTATACAAATGGTAAACGCTGAGCACCATGAGAAAGTTTCAACAATTTATCTTGTAACGGATAGTAAATGCTTCGGCGAATTTTAGAAAAATCATTATGTGCGATTTGTTTTCATTATGTTCGTGTTAATATATTATCTTTTAATATTCCACCCTATATATTTATATACTTATACTTATATAGATATATTTATACCCTAATATGTAGTAAGTTTTCTCTGCATCGCCTATGGTTTACTGTTTGAGAATGCGTTAGGCATTGTACCCGCTAATGTATACAAAATACATTATATAGAAAATAAATAAATAATACTATGGAAATAACTTTTCTTCAACGTTTATAGATAGACACTCAGCGAGATATTTTTTATATTACACTGACTACTCTTCTATCTCCTTTACAATGTCGCAACATACACTAATTTTTAAATATTTGACTACTACCCTCGGCATCGAATTTTCCTTATTTTTTAATTCTCTGGTAAAAATTATCTACGACAATCCAATCCAAATTAATGTAATTTCCACAAACCTAGTGTCGCAGGTGTAGAAAAAATTACATGCAATTTTGCGTGTAGTTATAATTCAATATTTCCATGTACAAATATGTATATGTGTTTCGACAGAAAGTTCAGTACAAGGATAAGGGTGTATTTTTGTGAATAGATGTTAATTTTTAGTATCTCAATATTTTTTTCTATTTTCTCTAGTTACTTTTAGTGATCATTAGCTAGAGTTGTTATTATCAATTAAAAATCAAATAAAGAACAGTCCCCTTTACACCCACACAAGAAAACCATGATTGAACAATGATTCAATTGAACTTGATGGATCAAACGAATTCAGGTGTTCGGGTGTAAGCGATGAAGGTTGATAGAAGGATGATAAGCGAATTTAGAATGTATAAAACTAACTCAAAAAAGAAACTTGTAACTTTTAGCTGTATATAATAAAAAAGTATGACAAAAGAATATTCTTAATCGAAATATTATTTTTCGCTTCTGAGAAGAGTTTCTATTTTTTACATGTCATTTAAACCCTCCTCCGTAAAGTTTACATTCGCAATTTTTTCAAATTATAGTTTTATAAAGCTTTGGATAGCATACGCTAGAGACGGGCGGAATCGAGGAGACGTTTGATGAAATCTGTCATTGTAGACTTACTGAGTTACACCGAGAGCCATCTTTGGGTCAATAGCGGTACTAGCGAATAGCGCTTACCTAATTGCATATGTTACCAATGCCATCTATTAGGGTGTAGACGAACGATCACAGAGACCTTACTGAAAATCGTACCGCACGAATGTTTGGGGTTGTTTGAATGCGTTCCAGAGTGTAGGGTGGGGCGGACACACGCGGCAAAACGGAAGTCGAACGAAACAGCGTACAGCGAGAAAAACTACGAAACGAACATTAGAGCGAATCGAGTTAGGGACGACATTCCATGACCGCTTTTATCATTATTTTACTATCACGGCATTTATTTCCATCCCCTGAACTGCCTAATCTCGTAACAAACCTATTGGGATAACCGATAGAAAAATTTGATTCTTTTGTAGTAAACGGCACAACGATATTTAATAGACGCCGCTCGCCATCGACTTTGAGACATGAGATCTAAGTATCAATCTTATTGTATAATGGAAGACCAGCCCCCATCATCCAAGCCACACACACTTCACAGTAGACCTACCCGTGCGAATTGAAATACCCCGTCACAAGTAAATGCCACTTGACAGATAGACCAGAAGACAGACGACCATCAGAAATTACACGGGTTTGATGGTCATACCTTCATCATGAGAATCTCTCGTGAGCATATGTTCAGTGCATGTGTCCTTAGGACAACGTGTACCTGCCTGTGAGATTTGAACATCGGCATAGTTGCCTCGCTTGATACATATAGACAAGACATGTTATCCTTTACACCACGACGAATATAGCCAGATTAAGATTGCATGCTCCTAGCATCTCATGTTGTGGAAAACTTTGTATATTTGTTTTGGATCTGAATGGAGCACCGTATGAGACCAATTGAACAACGCAAAATTTAAAAGCAAGAGGAATAGATAAGTTTGTTATTCGTTCAAACTACTCACTCTCCTCGTCCATTTTGAGTTTGGCAACTAAAGTCTTCCTCGGAACGTTATAGAACTCGGCCGCTTCTAATCTAGACATCCTGTTGTTTCTGACTGCCTCCACGCCATTCCTCAGGTCCTCCTCGGTGTATTGAAGGTATTTCTTGATGGGTTTGGCCCGGGGCAGTTTCTTGGGCCGAGTTAAGCAGACTGTTATCGGATCTTTCTCTGTAAATAATATATCATAAATTGTTTCTTTGGTCCGAAACCTTTGCTCCAATTCAGTGCTATTGATGTGGACTCGACTGTCAACTCGATCTGTCAATTCTGCATATCTGAGAACCCATTCCTATTAGTCTAGTACATTTTTTCCCCTACCAATGTTGATAGCCTTGGGAGGCTATATCAGCGTTACTCTAGTGTGTAGGTGAGCTCTCGGAGCTCAAACCAGAGGTGTTGCTAACACTGGCCCTAGCAAGAACAGTGCTTCGCAAATCTACCACCGGATCTGACTGAGAAGATCCGGCGAGGAACTCAGTGGGCTGTGTCGGCGGGTTAAGGAATATGAACTCATTTGTCAAATACAAAAGAATTTTTTTTGTACAAGTAAATAGCAATTAAAAATATCGTCATATAGCAAAAACGGATATCGAAACAACTAATTATAATAGTCGTCGTGACCTAACGGATAAGACGTCCGGTGCATTCGTGTGGAGCGACGCACCGGTGTTCGAATCTCGGCGGGTACCAATTTTTCTAATGAAATACGTACTCAACAGATGTTCACGATTGACTTCCACGGTGAAGGCATAACATAGTGTAATAAAAATGAAACCCGCAAAATTACTGGTGGTAAAACCGACCTCTTGTGAGTCCGCACGGGTAGGTACCACCACCCTGCTTATTTCTGCCGTGAAGGAGTAATGCGTTTCGGTTTGAAGGGCGGGGCAGCTGCTGTAACTATACTGAGACCTTAGAATCTATATCTCAAGGTGAGTGGCGGTATTTGCGTTATAGATGTCTATGGGCTCCAGTAACCACTTAACACCAGGTGAGCTGTGAGCTCGTCCACCCATTCAAGCAAAAAAAAAAATTAACTGGATATCGCTCGAAACATCGACCCCAACTATCCTAATACTCGTGGAAGGTTGCGGGGATACGCCTTGGAATTGCGGCACTATGACAAAAGGGTCCTTCTTTGCAGTGAACACGCAACCTTGGTATCTTTAAAAGGTTGAATTGAACTAAGTTCTTAAAACCTAGTTCAATTCACCCCACTCACTCGCCCCAGAGAGTACTGCACATCAAAGACACATTTTTGATCGTCTCTCCTACACTACGCTTCGAGAGGGACGGACTGATGGTCGATATGCCGATATATCGCGCATCCCCCGTGTCGTCATCCGCATAGCAATGCATGCCAGTAATAGATATTATTACGCACTGGGGTTCGGGATAAATAAAATTCTACCGAATTACATGTTAACACTGTATTTATCACTTAGAACACTTCACAAATACTTTACAATTCTCAGTTCGCTTCTTCCCCTTCGCTTTAGGTGAATTGTTCGCTGTTTCGCTTCGAGTAGTTCCGATTACTAACTGACTGCGTGCCATCTCTGCAACGCTTTTATAGCCGATGTCACATCCCTAGAATTATCGAGAATATTCCACACATTTGGAGTATTGTGTTTCTGCTATCTGATAATAGATGNAACACTTCACAAATACTTTACAATTCTCAGTTCGCTTCTTCCCCTTCGCTTTAGGTGAATTGTTCGCTGTTTCGCTTCGAGTAGTTCCGATTACTAACTGACTGCGTGCCATCTCTGCAACGCTTTTATAGCCGATGTCACATCCCTAGAATTATCGAGAATATTCCACACATTTGGAGTATTGTGTTTCTGCTATCTGATAATAGATGGCGTTGTACTTCTCGGGCGTTCTAGGTGCTACTAGATCCTTCGATATTCGTTCGACTATTTGGCGATAGATGGCGTTACTCTTACCGGCTTAACAATATCATATTGTCAAGTTATGATATACGGGTGAAAAGCGTAGGAGAACCGAACCTTGGTCATGGTCAGAACAGCAATCGTCTGCAACGACAGTGATGCTCCGTCCATCCAAAAAGCTAGCGATCCCCTTGCAGTTGGTAACTTCGACAGAATTTCATTATGCCAAGCCCTGTCGAAGGTCTATGTAATTGTACAAGAATTTGTTTTTTTATGATGAGAGTCTGAGCTCCACCTGAACTGGATTCACTTAGACATGGTATTGGCTGTACAAGCTCACCGTATTTCGATAAGCATATATTGACCAAGTATAACTATTTAATAACAACAAAAAGCTACATGGAACATTATAATATCTAACCTGGTTGACTGTTATTTGTGACATCTTCCTCTAAATACTCCACTTCATCATATGTTTTCTTCTCGAGTCCAATTTCTTCATTCTTGTTAATTTCTTCAACGATTTCTTGGCTTTCCACTTCTAAGAATTCTATTTTTGGCACCAAAGTCTGTTTATCTGAAACTAATATTTGCCTAGGATCTTTATATTGTTAAGCACAGCCGAGCCTCTGATACGATATAACGCGATACAGCCTGTATATACGTCATATCCCGGTCGCCAGCGACCCAGTTAGCCCTTTTCGCTGATGATACGGCTATCTTCTACTCGAGTAGGAAGATGTCATTCATGCATAATAAACTCCAGATCGCGGCCACTAAATTGGGACAGCGGTTCCGGAAGTGGCACATCGAAATCAACCCCACTAAGATCACAACCGTGCTCTTCAAAAGGGGTCCCCCTGCCTACCATTGCTAGTATCTAGTCACGAATTAAGCACGATAACTCTATTCCCGCCATCAAAATCCTTGGTCTGCCCATACTCCTCTACCCTAGGCTTCAAAGTTCAAGTACCACTCTCGATAGTATGACATTCGGTTCCTACATTAAGTCAGTACGTGACCGAGCCGCGTTCCTACCCAGTCGACTCTACTTCATGATCTGCAAGTGAAGTAAAATTTCCCTTCGTAACAAGGTGACATTCGACAAAACTTGCATACGTTCCATTATGACCTATGCAGGGGTAATGTTTGCTCACGCGTCCCGCATGCACATAATCTTTTTCCAGGTTATCCAATCTCGTTTTTCGCCGTAGCACCGTGTTTCGTGAAGAATGACGACCTTCGCGACGATCTAAATTTAAAATCGTTAAATATCTTAAGATAGCGTCAGAACGCTATTTTGACAAAGAAGCGCTACAGGATAGCCCTCTTATAATTACAATCCCGCTAAATACATATCCGACCAAGACGACGGCGCAACTAAAAGCCGCCGTAGCCCGAAACATGTCTTATCGGTTCCCCGGGTCCACTCTCGGTCCTTTAAGCTTTAGGCTCTTCTAACACCGGTCACCATCCTCGTCGAACTCGTTGATTAGTATGAAGAGTTCGAAGAGCAAACAAACCCATAAGCACAACTCTCTAAATTTTTCGCCAGATCCTCTCAGTGCGTTACGATTAAGACCCAGTAATAGATTTTGCGAAGCATTTCTCTTGCCAGGGCTAGGGTTAGCAAATTCTCTCAGGTGAAGCCCATGAGCTCACCTACCCGACCGCGCGTAGTTAGGATAGCCCATTAAGCTACCAGCGAATAGATAGGGGAGAAAAAAGCCGACCAATATCAGCACAGAGTCCACAGGGATCACAACGCAAATACTGCCCATCCATTTTAAGACATGAGGCCGTTGTCTCAATTTTTTCAGCCAGGAGGGGTGAGATTTGCTAAGAGCTACCCGAGCGCCTCCAAAGAAGACCTAACAACTCAAGAGTAGCTGCTTCACGAATGAATCTACTACTGGATCGGAATTGCGACTCGCTGAGAAGATACGGCCAGAAACTCAGTGGGCTGTTTAGGTTCGGTTGCACGACGAACTCTTTGCTGAGTTCGACGAGTACGGTTACTAGGGTCCCTACTCCCAGTGTTAGAGCTGAAGGTGTCTAATGCAAGGGTTATTGGATCTGATGGATCCGCAGAGACGCGTCTAGGGCGTCGACGGTGACTAGCTTTTGTGTGATCAGGATTCGGGGAGTAGTCAGCGGTGGCAACGACAAGGCGATTATCATGACGCATAGCCTTGTCGAAGTACCGTCCCGACGCTGACTTCGTATGTTTCCGGATTGATTCGAGGCCCAGGTCGTCGTGTAGGTCAACGTTCCTCACGAACCACGGAGCTTCGACGGCTAATCAGCAAAAGCAGGATTGTAGTAGGGATTGGATTGGATCGCGTAAGTCATGATGGACCTTATGCAAGTTTTGTAAAGTGTCACCTTGATCCGAAGGGACATTTTACTCTGCTTACGGATCATAGGGTTAGTCTGCCGAGAATAAACGCGGCACGGTCGCGGACTGATAGGCTTATATACATCCGGCCCCCAATCCGTCAATTATTTGCATATTTGATAGCTCAATGTTTCTCACCTTCATCCAATTTCTCGTTTAAGATTTTGTTTGAAATCCCATTGTGATTTGTAGTATCTATACGTAAGATTTTTTTGCTTCTCGATACAACCATCGTCTTCTCTGGGTCTCCTATGGCATATTTCGTTAACCTATTTTCAATGTTCTTCGCTTGCCTGTTTGGAAGTTTTCTCTTTGTTGGACCGGTGGTCATTATTTTTCTGTCTACAAAATAATAACGAAATATTAGTTTATTTATTTATTTACAAAGTTATATTTATTAAATTTTTTTATTTATTACATCAGTCAACAGAAAACATTTTTCGTTTTATGTAACAAAAGTTTTGTCTAGTCATGTATAGAATAAGTATAAGGATAATAGAAATAAAATTAAAATGATTCAAATACATATTTCCAAACAAAAATTTATTGTAATTTAAATTTATCATTTTTTTGAATTTTTTTTATTAATAATCAGAAGTTATTTCGTTATATTGCAAACGTTACATAAATGTAACTTAATGTTTTTCTTCTATATTTTGGTTCAGGGCGGTCTCGTTGTGAGGACACGGCGGAACACACGCTCGCGTACTGCCCCGTTTTCGCGGAGCAGCGCCGCATCCTCGTTGCAAAAATAGGACCGGACTTGTCGCTTCCAACTGTCGTGGCTACGATGCTCGGCAGCGACGAGTCTTGGCAGGCAATGCTCGACTTCTGCGAGTCCACCATCTCGCAGAAGAAGGCGGCGGAACGGGAGAAGGAGAACTCTTCCTCCCTCTCGGCGCCGTGCCGCCGCCGCCGAGCCGGGGGTCGTTGGAGGGCGTTTGTCCAGCTCCGGCCCCTATGAGGATGTAGTCTCCTCCCGTAGATGGTCACGGGGCGACCTTTTTTTTTATTGCCTTTGTAGGCAGACGAGCATACGGCCCACCTGATGGTGAGTGGTTACCGTTGCACATGGACTTCAGCTATGCCAGGGGCAGAGCCAAGCCGCTGCCTACCGTTTAATACTCTCCACAAGCCTCGTTTGAAGAAGGACATGTCATAGCGCTCGGGAGACACCGTGGAGGGGAGCTCATTCCATAGCCGGATGGTACGTGGTAAAAAAGACCTCGGGAAACGCACTGGCTCCAGGTAGTATGGATGAACTCTACTCCGGTGGCGGGCGGTGCGATGGTAAAAACGAGATGCCGGTATCATCTCGAACAATTCTTCAGTGCACTCCCCATGGAACATACGGTACAAAATACAGAGGGAACCGAAGTCCCTCCACAGACCCAGAGGTTCCAAACGATCCGTGAGAATGGGATTATCGACAATCCGAACGGCCCTTCTCTATATGGAGTCAAATGGAAGAAGCTGGTATTTGGCAGTCCCGGCCCAGAGATGGTAGCAGTACTCCACGCGAGGCCGGACTTGTGCTTTATAAAGCAAAAGTCTTTGTCCAGGCGTGAAGTACCGCTTCGCTCTGTTGAGGACTCCCAGCATTTTGGACGCCAGCTTGGCTTTGCCTTCCATTTAACTCCGAAACTGGACATCGCTCGAAATGTCGACCCCAAGTATCCCGATACACTCGGAAGGTTGCAGGGATACTCCTTGGAATTGCGGCGCCATGACAAAGGGGTCTTTCTTCGCAGTGAATGCGCAAACTTGTGTCTTTAACGGGTTGAATTGAACCAAGTTCAATTCACCCCATTCGGAGACTCGCCCCAGAAAGTTCTCCACTTCAGACACAAGTTTTGATCGTCTCTCTTGCACCACGCTCCGAGAGAGACTCTGATGGCCGATATATTCCGCATCCCCCGTGCTGTCATCCGCAATGCATGCCATCAATAGACAGCATGTCATTGATATACAGCATGAGAAGCGTGGGGGAGAGCACCGAACCTTGTGGAATTCCAGCGTTAATGGTCATGGTATCAGAACAGTCACCGTCTACAACGACCGTGATGCTCCGCCGATCCAAAAAGCTAGCGATCCACTTGCAGAGACCTTCGGAGATTCCGTAAGATGGTAGCTTCGACAGAAGTGCCCTATGCCAGACTCTGTCGAAGGCTTTCGCGATATCAAGGCTCACAGCAAGAGCCTCGCCCGTGCTCTCCAAGGCTTCAGCCCACCTGTGAGTAAGGTATACAAGAAGATCGCCAGCTGAGCGACATGACGGAAACCGTACTGATGGTCACTGGTCAGTTGGCGATCTTCAGGATACTTTAGGAGTTGTATATTTATTATTCGCTCCATCACCTTGGAAATCAAGGAGGTTATCGCGATAGGCCTATAGCTCGATGGGCCCGACCGGTCACCCTTCTTGGGGATAGGGTGGACGTGGGCGGTCTCCCATGAAGACGGAACCCTGTTAGCACAATAAGAGAGGCAATACAAACGCGTTAGTGCAGGCGTCAGCTCAGGGGCGCACGTTTTCAGAACCACTGCAGGGATGCCGTCTGGCCCACTCGACTTATGGACGTCCAGGAGTCGGAGTTCCCGCCTGACTGCACACTGTGTGAAGCAGGTCTCCGGCAGTATTGTGATACTCTCGGTGTGCCGAGGGATGTTCGGTGGTGTGGCACCCCCGTCGTCCACTGTCGAGTTCGAGGCGAAGAGTTTGACCAGAAGGTCAGCCTTCTCTTTCGCACTATGGGCCAGACTGTCATCGGACTTGCGTAGTGGTGGGAGACTAGACCTGCAAAAGTTTCCTTCTGCAGCTTTGGCGAGCGACCAAAAAGCANACTCCATATTTAAAAATGAGTAAAATTCTAAAAGTATACATTTTTATTTTCATGAACAATTCGAAATTCGAATTCAATAAACTTTTTTGTGGCCAGCATTCTAAAAGAAAAGTTTTTACTGTGTGACAATACTTATGACCTGACTAGTTATATTGCATAAGCAATAAGAAAAGTTTGAAAATAAACAAATAGTATGCATACGTGTGTGCGTCAAATACATGGTAGTTGTTTATTGATTTAATGTAATTTTTTTATACATAATTTAAAACATGACGACTCTTGTAGCTGAAAGTAAGTATTGTACTTTTTGACGAAGCATGTTGCTGATAACTCAATTTCTGTAATCTGACGAAGCATATTGCGGATAATAACATGTACTTTTAGGTTAGGATTATTATGTTCTTTTTTTTATAATAAATAAAGTTATTACTCTTATAATAATTTAAAAAAATATTAACATTCTGCACTCAGTCTCTATAAGTGTGGGAAATTTCATACTCCTCCGTCCACGCAATTTTCGTAAAAAGGGGTACAAAGTTTTTGTTACACGTATTAATATACTTAGTCTGGCCATAAACACTGTTACAATTAAAAATAAACAAAATATTACATTTAAATTTGGAATCTGTCATTTTTATATGATTGCTCGTTGAGTTTTCTCATTTTGGCGCCAATACATTGTACAATATTTTGCGATATTAAAATGGAGTGGGGTGATAAAGAGAACCGAATCGCTGTGGTTGCATTACACAAAGTAGGTATGGAGCCAAATGCAATTTTTAAAACTCTCCATACGCTTGGTATTAGTAAAATATTTGTGTACCGGGCTATTAATAGGTGCAATGAGACCTCCTCTGTTTGTGACAGAAAAGGATCTGGCCGTCCACGTAGTGTTCGTACGAAAAAGGTGGTCAAAGCAGTAAGGGAAAGAATTCGAAGAAATCCTGTCCGAAAGCAAAAGATCTTATCTCGGGAGATGAAGATAGCACCTAGAACCATGTCGCGTATTTTAAAAGATGACTTAGGACTTGCAGCCTATAAGAGACGTACTGGTCATTTCTTAACTGATAATTTAAAAGAGAATAGGGTTGTAAAATCGAAACAACTACTGAAGCGGTACGCAAAGGGAGGTCATAGAAAAATATTGTTTACGGATGAGAATTTTTTTACAATTGAGCAACATTTTAACAAACAAAATTACCGTATTTATGCTCAAAGCTCTAAGGAAGCTTCCCAAGTAGTCGACAGAGTGCAACGTGGGCACTATCCGACTTCAGTGATGGTTTGGTGGGGTATTAGCTATGAAGGACTGACTGGGCCATACTTTTGTGAAAAAGGTATCAAAACATCGGCACAAGTGTATCAAGATACCATTATTGAGAAGGTAATGAAGCCCCTTAACAACACCATGTTCAATAATCAAGAATGGTCCTTCCAGCAAGACTCGGCGCCAGGTCATAAAGCTCGGTCTACGCAGTCTTGGTTGGAACCGAACGTTTCGGACTTCATCAGAGCGGAAGACTGGCCGTCGTCTACTCCCGATCTTAATCCGCTGTATTATGATTTAACGTCAGTTTTAGAGAGTACGGCTTACTCTAAACGCCATGATAATTTGGAGTCCCTAAAACAATCCGTACGATTGGCAGTGAAAATTTTTCCCATGGAAAGAGTGCGTGCTTCTATTGATAACTGGCCTCAACGTTTAAAGGACTGTATTGCAGCCAATGGAGACCACTTCAAATAAGCTTTTTTTACTATTAATTGTTTTATATTTATGTATTAAACTAACACACTGTAAAAGTAATAAATGTTATTTACCATAGATTTTTTTTTGTTTTCCTTTGTAACAGTATTTATGGCCAGACTAAGTATAGATGACATCGCGCAACATTAATTTTATAGACCCTTCATATTCTGTAATCATACTCGTAGCGCATTACGAGCATCTCTGTTCTTTTGAAATATTCTGTATATTTCGTGACAGCATTGAGGATCTTGGTGATAAAATATGGAAATACGTTCTAACGTCACTTATAATACCTCACATTTAATTTTGACCAATAGATGCTAAACACAAAAAATCTAGGAGGTGAAAATGGTACTGTTTGCTTTTTTATATACATATCTGAATTATATTAAAATTATTTGTGGATAATTATTTAACAAATATATTAATTGGCAATTTGACGTCGTCGTGGCCTAAAGGATAAGACGTTCGTCGACGACGTCGTGTTCGGATCCCGTAGGCTGGTACAATTTTTTCTAATGAAATACGTACTTGACAAATGTTTACGATTGACTTCCACGGTGAAGGAATAACATCGTGTAATATAAATCAAACCCGCAAAATTACAATTTGCGTAATTACTGGTGGTAGGACCTCTTGTGAGTCCGCACGGGTAGGTACCACCACCCTGCCTATTTCTGCCGTGAAGCAGTAATGCGTTTCGGTTTGAAGGGGGGGCGGCCGTTGTAACTATACTTGAGACCTTAGAACTT